GAGGAGGCCTTATGACTAGAAAATAAAACAGAGGACCCACATCAAGGCCCTCTCTTGTCATGTCAGTTGATACGGTACTGCTGCATGCTTCCAATGAAAAATAAAAATAATTTTAAAATATCAGTCAAATGACCACAAACCAGCTGACACACAGTGAGCCTTGGGATTTATGAGGCTGCGGGACAGTTGCCTAACGTGCCCAGTCGGCCGCTGCTACTTTTATATTGAAGGCTACCACGGGTATCATTACTGCTACTGCTGCTATTATTAAGATCTTTAACTGCAGTAGGTGGAATTTTTTTTGTTTGTTTTTGTTACATGTCACTTGAATCAGAATCAGCTACACTGGTCAAGAAAGTATTAAGATTATACAGCATATATAGTATATACAGTAGTATGTTTTTCTACTAGTGATACTAACTGATAATTGATTGTTTCTTTCTCTATAGGGTCCATCTATACTGTTTAATGTTTGTACTGAACTTGTTAATGACAAATTCACATAAAATTGAACTTAAATTAAATACAAATACGTTCACATACATTTTCATTGAAGGACTTTTGCTTGTTAATGAGTATCTTTAAACTGTACTGTTACTACTTTTTCTCACTTAAGCGTATGAATATATGTGATATGTGATATGAAGTAAGTGTCTGCATTTGAATGAGTGTGTGTTTGCTCAGCTCTGACTAAATTAAACTGGGCTCGGGGGGGTGTGTGTGTGTGTGTGTGTGTGTGTGTGTGTGTGTCTGTGTGTGTGTGTGTGTGTGTGTGTGTGTGTGCGTGCGCGTGTCTGTGTGTATGGGGGCGTGAAGCAGGAGGATACAAGGTTGCGTGCATGTGTGTGTGCATTTGTCATCACTTCCAAGAATACATCAACAACTGTTCAAAATAACACAGCAGTGGGTGTGTGTCTATATGCAGTATGTCTGTTCTTTTATGTGTGTATTTATGAGCATTTTTACGTGGAGAATGTTTTTTTTTTTTTTTTTTTCACTTCACAGACATCCATCAACAAGTGTTTCAAAGTGACAGTTTTTTTGTGTGAACAGTAGTGGTAGTGTGGAGTGTGTGAGGCTGAATTCAGGAGTGAGGTCAAGTGTGCGAACATGAGGCAGGAGGGAGGAGAGAGAGTGAGAGTGGAGAGTGTTTTTTTTCTGAGAGTCTGTCAGAGTCTGGTGGCAGTCGGAGGAGAAAACACTGAAGCTCGGCTTATTCAATCAAGCTTCTCCCTGTGACCAGAGCTGGAGCCTGCGGCTGCTTCGGTCTTCTTTTAGTCAAGTGTGATGCCGTCTTAAGGGGGAGTAAAAGAACAGAGATGCTGAGAGGGTACTGTTAGCCTGAAATGCTTGTTTTGTCACAAACTCCTGAATTCACAGTGTTGTGATGGGGACTGTCAGTGAGCTGTGTGCCTCTAGTTTCCAGGCATTTCTCTGTCCTACTGTACGACCAGGGGCACCTGCTGCAGCCACAGGTAAGCACTCTTAAGAAAATACACTTGAGCTTATGAATAATTCTGGTATACCTTGATGAGCAGAGTCATTTTTAAGCTGTTTGAACAGGCTTTCTCTTACATTTGTATTTAACTCTCTGTCTTTAATTCTTCTCTAATCATATTGTATTTGTAGTAACATAACTTTATTTATAAAGCAGTAGAAAGTGTTGATGTGACACAGTGACACAGTCTATGTCTATAGACCATCACATTTTTTTAAAAAGAATTTCTTAAAACCTTGAATGATTAATATTTTCAGTCATTTACAGGCGTACAGACTTTCAATGAAAAATGACTTGAAATAAAAATCACTTTATATGTAAATAGAACATATTATAGTTACATTTTATACATATTTCTGCTGCATTTGTGTGTGTTTTTTTTTACAACATTGAGCTGTTCTGTAATAGTATTTTGAGTTATTGTGAAGAAAGCTTTGTGAATTTTTATAGACGCCTGTGTTAAAATTCATGTGTTTTGGGTCTCTAGCAGCTTTATACTTTGTTAAATTGACTAAAGGAGAGGTCAGACTTATAGCTGAGTTTGTGCTGAAAACAAGGATACCACGCATGTGGGGTACAGGAACGGTTTAAAAGGCAGAAATGAATGCACGGAAAGCCGTCAAAAATTAACCAAGAAGGTTGAACTTCTAATCACTTATCATCATTTTTAATTTTACAAGTCTTTGTTGGTTTTATGTTGCTTTTGTGTGACTCTTGACGGCGTATAAATGACAGACAAACACAGCGAGACATGGAGAGCAAGACTGGCACAAAGTGCTATCAGTGTTCAGTTGCCGTGGTGATTTGTAGTTAGGTTATCAAGACACAGAGCGCTGTGTAGTTTGTGTGAGTTTGTGTGTGTGTGTGTGTGTGTGTGTCATGCTGTGTTTTTGACATTTCTCTGGTCATGTACACACATGAGTCAAGCAAACTGTGTGTGTATGTTTGTGTGTGTGTGTGTGTGTGTGTGTGCGTGTGTGTGTGTGTTTGTGTGAGATGGTGGGCTTGATTTGAGAACATGACGCACACCCATCATCCTCTGGTCCAGGATCCTCCTCTCCAGTGGGTGCTTTAGTGACATAATCTCCATCGCTGCCCACTGTTCTCCCTCTGCGCAGGTGCTTTCGTACTGTATTTCATACTGCTCATTCAAAAGCCATCGTTACACAATGAAAGCAGCCAGGTTATTACCATTTGCAATACCGCTTCATGACTTTTCTTTCGGGAGCTGGGCTTCCCCTTCTCTCTCCATGTAATTTCCTTTGCTTTCTTCTTTATTGTTTTTAAGCCTCAAGGCCTCAACAGCAACAGTGATGTTTTTCATAGATGAGCCCTTTAGCTGTGAGGTATAGATTTCCTCGATCGGCTATAGTGGCTTCCTTTGAGAATGGTTAACAGCTCTACATTCACCATTTATCTGGAAACGTATCGAAGCGCTGGTTCAAGTTCTCACTCATCTTTATTCGTGCAGATAGTTTTGGTTTAATTTGCCCAGGTTTTGAGATGCCTCCACCCCTATACAGTGGGGGTGGAGCCACTTCTCTTTCCATAAGCAATGTTATTCTGGATAATCCACAGACCTCACTGTCAACAGTTTTCATTTGAACTGCTTCCTACCAGGGAAAGGTCGCCATGAAAACTGTTTACGGGTTGATATTTACTAAAAGGGGAAAAGAAACATGTCTTTTATGTGGGTGAGACGACCCTTTAAACTGTTAAATTGCAACCGCTCTTCCTCATCCCTCCCATCCTGTTTTCGGTGTGTCCAAACTCTGAATAAAGCAGTGATTCAAACGCGCAGCTGCAATCCTTTGCCCTCCTTTCCTCTATCCTTCCCTACATCCTCTCTTCTCCCTTCCTCTTTCCCCTCACACACAAGCCATCCATCTCTGATCTCAAACCTGCTTCCTCAAGTCTTCACACCCATTTGGATAAATATGTTTATCTTCAGCAGGTGGGGGGATATTATTTTAGAGATAATTAAATTTAATTTCACATTGTGTCATGTATCCTCTTCCTGTTTGAAGGGAGAAACTTATGTTGCTGCCAAGTCTTTCATCATTTCAACAGGGTGGAGTGCTCAAACCTGAATCATTTACACATATTTGCAGGCCAAAACACATTAAAACTAAATTTATGAGATGATACACATACGCAGAGAAATACACACACACATCTATAAAAACAGAGACGTACTGATTTAAGCATGCAAACTCATAAACACATTTTTTTTCACTTTCTATTTCTCCTTTTCTCTCTACACACATATGCTTTCACCATGGTATTAAAAATAGCCAGAATGAAATACTAAATCAAAAATGATTAGATTTTCAAATTAGATATTAATTGAGATATTGAGATTTTAAATCAAAATTATGACTTGGTACTTCAGAACTGGGAGATAATAAGACGTCATTTTGAGTTAAAAGGCATAAAATTGACTTAAGAAGTAGAAATTTTGACTTTATAGTTCAAAGTTTTGTCTTTCAAAATTGTGCAAACACATAAACACATTTTGTGCAAGATGTTGACAGTTGAAAGTCAAAATACTGCAAACTTTTCTTTACACATGCTTATTGAAACTGTGTCTGCCTTAGAGTAAAAATAGCTGAGAAGTTGACAGTCAAAATGATGAAATACTACGTCAAAATTACAAGACATGCTGGCTGAAAACAACATAGCAGCCAGATACCACTCCTATGAGATATTCAGTGTTCAGAGTTATCATAGTGAATTCTAATATATTTATTGGCCTAGTATATTTGCATTCTATGCTGCCTCCTCCTTTTGGTTTTCAGAGGCAAATACACTGTTTATTCCATTACATTTATTTGGCAGCTATGGTAGCTGGTTAATTTATATTACAAAACATCACTGCAGATGAAACTAACAGTATATAAAGAGATAAAAATGAGCTCCACCTCAACCAGCCACAACAGTCATGTAGTAAGCTAAGTATCCAACTACTGTGGGGGTCTTTTCCTTCTTCATCTGGGAGTTGTCATCCACTCTTCTGTCAGGTCTTCAAGTTCTAGGGGTATTTTTAGGCTGTCTAGCACACACAGCATGTTTATGATCTACCCACAGATTTCCAGTGATTGTTCAAGTCAGGGGACGGTGAGGTGGATTTTGAGGTCTGCTTTGGACCTCTTTTCAATGTCAGTTTCTTGACTGACTGCATGACATTTGCATTCAAAATTTAATGAAATCCATTCTTGCATTTCCTGTGCCACTGACTGCCACACAACCACAAAGCAGAATATTTCCATTTCCTTGTTTAACAGCTGGCAAAGGGGGGTTACTAATCTGTTTGCTGCAGAAGTTGTGTTGACTTTCTTTCACTTCAAAACTCAACAAAACATGTAATGTTTCCAGGATAGATAGATAGATAGTTTGTTGGCTGCTCTCTGATTGGCTGCTACTGTGGAAGCCACGCCCACGCCATCCTGCTCCAGCACCGGCTGTCTCTGCACAGACAGTTGTCATTAACTGCCAGTCTAACGGTAACTGACTGACAAAGCACCGAGACATTTCGACCTTTAAAGTTACTTTAAAGTGGAAAACAATAACGTTATCCTATTTCCAGCGTCGCCCAGCAGCAGAGTCATGGTCTTAAAGTCGGAAGACGGAGTTGGTGAGTTGCCTGACCCGCTTTAGTTACGTTACAGCAAGTAGGGCTAACTTAGAGGCTAACCAGCTAACGTAACTTTAACTAATGCTACGTAACTGAAGTAAGCACGTAGATGAATAACAGGTAGTTTCGTGTGTTTTGGCATTTAATTACCTATATAAATAGCGTAAGCAACAAGTCCTCATCTGACTGATTTGTTAATGCTCTTTGTCAGTCTTCATTAACTGGCACAAGGGATCCATTCTTATTAATCTGGATTGAGGCCAGACCTCATGGGGGTTTGTGCTTATTGTGCAGCACTTAACAATTCATGTGTCTATAAATACAGTCAATGCACCCATTTATTGGTCAGAAATGAAGGAATTGCCCTCTTAAATGCTTAGGCGGTTTAGTTGACTTGGGTGCAGGGACTTCTGTGCTCAGTTTTCTAATTTATGTGGCCCAAGAGTTGGATACTGTCAGCGGTACGAGACTCCAAAAGGTCACCACAGAGAGGGAGAATTTGCCACAAAAAAAAAAACCCATAACTAACTTTAGTTCGGCTTCCTCACAGCTGCACTGGTGTTTCCTCTAACATTTTGAACCACTCTTACAGGATGTGCTTTTTCACTGAGGTATCTGATTCTGTCAGCTGGGAAATATCTGTCAAAATAGATTACAAAATCTTTTTAAAATGAGAGTCAGGTGTGAAAAAGTTAGAAATTAACATATATTGGTTTTAAGGTAAATTGGCAAAATATCAGAGCTAGTAGTACAGATAGCTTTTTCCCCACTTCCCAGTGAGTGGTGCCTTATTTTTAAGCATAGTTCAGCCCCAACACTGGTTTTGTTCGCCTTTTCCCTGACTGATACTGTCTTCACTTTCTGTCCGTCACATAAGGATATTTTCTGTCTCGGGGCACATTTTGTTCTCCCCGTTTCATCCCTTGTTGGATTTGTTTCAGCTTTCTTGCTTATTGGACTTTTGAGCCTTAAGGCTGTATGAATGCGATCAGTCACCAGGGAGTTTACCATAACCACAGGATTATATCACTTGGTTGAGCTTGTTATCCTCAGGCCAGGGAACATTGGAAGGGACAATTATCGCTTTGTAAACACTGAAGTGGACAATTATTGCCTTGTTAATGGTGCCAGAAGCTGAAATTCTCCATCTGTAGAAGGACAAATAATTTTCTAGTCATAACCACACTGCTTTGCCTTGGGTCCTGGGTCAGCTGCCATCCTGTTGTTGGTGTGTGTTCATTCCTACAAGAAAACACGTGTGATGAGCAGAGAAACAACTACTGATTTAATTCTTTACCATATTTCATTTTGAAGACGTCTTCACCGTATTTAATTTTGCACCTCCCCACCCTCTTTCTCCCTTGGACACTGGTGGCCACGTGGGGGAGCCTGTGTTTGATGCTCTGCTCATTGATGGAGGCAGGAGGGAGGAGTCAAGATGGACAGTGGGCGGGGGGGGGTGAGAGAGAGAGAGATGAGGGTTCAAGGGTTTCCCCCTCACACACACACACAACTAACACACTCAGGAACACACTTGTCCTCATCCTCATTTAGCTGCAGGCCTGCTCCCCTCCTCTTCCCTCTGCTGGAATGAGTGCCTGAGGATTAAAGAGGCAGGGAGACCAGAGGACCACAGGATTGGGATTGGGATTGGGAAGATCAGGCTGGACTGGATTAATACTGTGCTGTTGGAAACACGAGGCTGGACTGCAAGAAAGAGGCTGTTTTGTACTGGAACTGGTGACTGGGTTAGACAACTTTCTGGACTCTGGAGCTGGAGTGAGACTCAAACACTGACTACTAAAAACTAAATTAATTGAGTGTTTTCGGCTGCACTGGGACCAGTGAGACTGCTGGTGAAGCTTCTCAGCGCACACACGCTTTCTCTGGTATGAAACTCAGAATTATGACACAAATGTGTAGGTGTTCAGTGCGTCATCATTACTTCTGCATTAGAGCTATTTTGCAGAATGTACCCTGAATGAGTGCCCGTGTGTGTGTCGTCATGTCTTCCTCAGAAACCTCATGAGAGCCGGAAACCCAGTCAGAATGTACGCTTTGGTAACTGCTGATAGATCAATATGGTTAGGTTTTTTCCGTATGCCATTACATTTTTCAGAGGATGTGATGTGTTGCATAACTTACAAAGCGGAGAGTGGAAGTAAGATAGAGAGTGAACTGTAGGTCTGGATATGTTGTTTGCCCTGAGCAACTGGTCATCAGCAGTATTGCTATGACAAGGTGTCCCATTACTTGAGAACACAAACACACACTCTGTGACCTCTAGACTATGCAGAGCAGCTGATTGAGGAGCCTGAAGACGCATGTTGTCATTTATGTCAGAAAGGGAATGTTTTTGTGTTTGTTTGCTTGAGAGAGATGATGATATGACAGTGTTTCATGAATCCACTTGCTGTTATTTCCTCTCTTGATAAAAAGCCAGGGGGAGGAAGTGAGGGTGAATGCCAGTTTCACTGCCTCCCTGCTAACAATGGTGTGTTATATTCTTGTCCTCGGGTTTATAATAAGAGCTACTCCGGCCTACTTAAAGCTTTCTCTCTGGGCAAGGGGCATGTGTGTAATGAGCGAGTGCGTCACTGTCTGTGTTCGCAGTATGTAAATAATACCAGTATTCAAGGCTTCAGCACCTGTCACGCCACACTGGACTTTACTGAATTTGCCTTTAGTCAGAGGTGGAGTACTGTAGTAGGAATAATGAGTTTTCTTATAGATATCCTTTTTTGGGTTGGAAATTCACCCTTTTGCACAGACCTTTACCCAAAAAGTTGCAGTTTTTAATTAACAAATTAGTTTCAGGATGAAATATATCATTCTAAATGCTCAAGTTGACCTAAAACCCTTCTTAATGTCTTGATAAACCTTGATACATTTGATTTGATTTTATTGTTTTTTTTTTCACATGTATGACGAGTTTGGTTTGATTTGATGCATAAAATGGAAATCAATGGTAGTGCACTGCTTTGTTTTAGGGCTGCAACTAAAGATTATTCTCATTATAGACTAATCTGTTGATTATTTTCTTCGTATATCCATTTAACAGTTGGTCTACAAACTGCCAGGAAATAGGGGAAAACCCTTGAATCATTTCCCCAGAGCCCAAGTTTATGTTTTGAAGTTTCTTGTTTTGTCTGAAAAAGTTTCCAAAATCCAAAAAATATTCACTTTCCACTAATAGAAGACAAAGAAAAGCATTGGAGGAGCTAGAACCAGTGAGTGAAGTGGGGACGTTTTTGAAAAATGACTTGAAATTATTAAATGATAAGGTAAATTTTTGATCAACTAATTGACTAATTTGGCTTCTACTCAGTTTGATAATTTTATTGTATATGGGATTTTGCATATATTAAATCTGCAACATTGTGATGCCTCAATACTTTACCTTACTTGCACCTCTTCTTCTTTAATCCCTTTGTTTCCCTGAATTGGTCTAGAGGTTGACACTGAGTCACTTGGTCATGATGGCAAAGTGAAATGAACAGTTAACTTGAATCCCTCAGCGTGACTCCTCTAATGAGGCTGACAAACAGCAGCAGCAGCACAGCTTGACTCGCCCTCTGTGGCTCCTTGTTACTTTAGCATAAATTTTGCCTTTTCTTCATGTTTATCTCCAGTTATATAGCATTTAATATGCTTAAGAAAATAGCCATAGAAGAAGCTTTATCATGAAGCACCCAGTGGAGAGGAGCTGATATTTATTGTCGATAATGAAGAGGTATGATATTTGCAAATAATCATATGTAAAACATGAAATATGCAGATCAGCTCACTAACTCTTTGGACTGCGTTCCCTGTCTTATCGTTCTTTCCTTTTTTTTTCCTCTCTCATGTTTTCATAAGAAAAACCACAAGCCAGTCACTGACAGATCTGCATTTCCCTCTTCACCTTATCATTCCTCTGCAGATATTGTGTGTGTGTCAGGGCACATGAACTTCTGTTCTATCAGAGTTCACACTTGGTCATGTACAGTTATGGGTGTGTTTTATATGGAGGGTGGAGGGCGGCATGGATATTTGAGCTTAACAGATACAGTAAGATATCAAGTCTAATGTACCATTTTATATTATTCATTTGATGTTGCTTTTGGTTATTGAAACCAATGAAATCTAGCTGTTAATTCAAGCTGTAATGATTAATTGATTAGTTGTTCGGCAACAAATTAATTAGCAACTAAATCAATGAATCATTTATCATTTTTGTAGTAAAAATACCAAATCCTCAAATTTGAGAGTTTGTTACTTTTACTCATCATAAATTACAGTAAAGTGACTAACTTTTGTTTTTGGAGTGTTAGACAAGCAAGAGCTATGTGACATTAGTTTGGGCTTTGAGAAACTATGATGGGTATTTTTCACATTGTGTTTTATAGGCAGAGAGATTAATCAGTAAAATAACCGACAGAGTAATTGATTACGAAAATAATAGTTGGTTTCAGCCCTGCAGGTAATACTGAGGCTGATCATTTTCAACAAATGTAAAAATGAATTATATACTTTTAAAAAGTTACATCATTACACTAGATATGTAGATTTAATATCTGTAACTATGTTTTAGTCTTTTCTTCTTCTTTTCTCTTTGTCTTCATTCATTTTAAAGTCAGATACAAAAATCTTTTATTGCACTTTGTCATTTTCTGTAATGTAGTTTGTGTACTGCACTGGCGTAATCTGCTTCATTGTTTTGCAGCTTTGCACCGAGCATATCTAAATTGTTAAGTCAGTACTGAAGCAAGTAACTGTATTGCTTTAGTCCTAGTTAACACTATAGTTAGCAGCACCTTTTACTCTGATAAAAACACTCAGCCAGTTTTATTTAATCCTTTCAGAAGTTTTCTCCCATTCTTTCAGAGAGTTCAGTCTCTCAGTGTCTCACACCTACATGTTCTCTGTCATTAATCTTAAGTGTTTCAATGGCCTCGAAAGCTGCCTCTGTTCTCATAATTGCTACTTAGTTATGGAAAATATGAACGTTGCTTTTAGCAGTAAGAAACTAAAATGGAGAAGATATTCATTGTTATTGTTTCCTCCTTCACTGTGAGCAATGATATTGTGGCCAAAAGCTGTTATGTTTCAGCTTGTTTGTGTGTGTCTGTACATCTGTATAAAGCAAAGGGGGTTGATTTCATCCTCTAGTTTGGGGTTTGGATGGTGCGGTTGGGGTGGGGGGGGGGTTATGGTTGATGGATCAAAGATTGCGTTGCCATAGTGACCCAGAGCAGTGGGACTCTCAGGTCTCTCATCTTCCTTTGTACATGTGTGTGTGTTTATGCAGTGTGTCTGTTCTATGTGTGTAAGAGAGAATATTTGATCTTTGTGTTTGAGTGCTACATGTACTTCTCTCTCTTCTCCTCAGTGCCTGATGACCTCAGTCCAGAGGAGAAACAGGAGCTGGAGAGCATCCGCCGTAGAAAACAAGAGCTCCTGCAGGACATACAAGTAAGAGCAACACTCATGCTGACTCCCTTACACTAGAGATGTCCTGAGCTGATGGCAGGGCTGTATTAGGGCTCGGGATGGGGTTCGATAGCATTTTGTTGAATCTGAATCAAGTTCAAAATCTTAAGAATCCCTTATTGAACCTTTTCAAGTAGTTCGTTTGGTGCTGATGAAGAGATCTTTTTGTAAAAGAAAAACAAAACAAAACTAAAAAAAATAGTTAATTGTGATTTAGGGAAAAAATGACCAGACAAGTATGGCACTGACACTAATTGAAACTATGATACTTAACAATCAAACCTGAACCATGGACATGATACTGTATTGAAGGCTTGTGGGGCTTTCATCACATATTTTGTCACTGCTGTGTGACGTTCAATAAGCCTGTCCTGACTCATTCTTCCTTTTGCTGCATTTGCTCCTCGCAGACATACTTTACTGCAGCAGCTTCAGAGGTCATTGTAGCCAAAGTGAAAACAACACAGCAATAATATGAAAAATTATACTTCATCATCCAGTGAATATAAATTGAATAAATCACAGACATTTTGCATGATGGGTCACAGAATACAGTGTAACACTGGCGGTAGGTTAAGGCCGAGCACTCATTCCTCTCAAGTTAGGGTTCGTGTTCGTCATCCCATCACATGAAATATCGCTAATTAAGTTGTTTTAAGTTGTTTTTTGAGCCGGTCCATCGTCCTGTGTGTTCACAACAGAGTCACTGTTGAGTCGTGTGTATTTGTTGTTTGTATGTTTCATTAGTCTTTTGTTTCCTTGCTGATGCCTGTTGTGTCAGAGAGAGGTCAAATAAACATGAAGCAGAACTTGAGCTGAATTTATCTGGAGTTCAGCTTCTTGACCTTCATACTATTTCTGTTTTCTGTCTTCTGTGATTACTGCTCGAACAAAATACTTTCTCAACAGGGCAGCAATGAAAGGGAGTTTGTTTTTGTCCCTGCTGTGACCCTGTGGTTTTCTGGACTGTTGCAAGTCGTTTTTCTTTAACATTACATTTTTTTAAAGGACAGTTTCACAAATTTTACAATACGGGACAAAATCCACTGTCCCCCTTCTGTGTAAAATATAATAAAAGTTTATCTGAAGTGAATATGAAGCTCAAGCTATCTGAGTTAGACAGATCAAAAGGGAACCTTCCAAAGTTAGTATAAAATTTCCACTTTGTGTTTCCCTGGACAGTTTGTCTCTGTTGCATTGCAGAAGAGTCACAAAAAGAGGGAATTTGGTACAAAAACACTGGTTTTGGAAGATATCCACTTGATTTGTCAAATATATTAACTTCAAATAAACATTTTTATACAGAAAGCAGATTGTGGATTTTATCACACTTGACCTGTAATTGACATTCAGAAAGGATATTTTAATGGTCAGTATGTACAGGAGGGAAAACAGTTGGGCACCTGACTACTGTTTTGAGACAGACTTGAAAAAATGTGAACTTATCCTTTAAACCATTTTAATTATTTCAGACTGGGGAATTGCATGAAAAACAAAATCACACAGTGTATTGTTTGCTTTTCCATTTTTTTACTCACATCACATTGTTCAGGTAGTTCTTTCTTCTCTCTTTGTCCTTGACTAGATTTGTTCCTCCATGTCTAGACCAGTGAGCCTAGGGAGGTGTGCTTGTGTACATATATATGTGTGTGTGTGTGTGTGTGTGTGTGTGTGTGTGTGTGTGTTTGGAGGGGAGGGGGGTTATGGGGATATGACCACCGGAGCGTTACTGTATGCATTCAAGACAGATGATCCTCTTTGTGTTAGGATGCATGTGTATGAGGGGGGTGCACCTCTCTCTCTCACACACAACCACACACACACACACACACACACACACACACACACACACACACACACATACATAATGCCTTCTGAAAGTATTTACACACTTTCAGTTTTTTTCACGTTTTGTTATGTTGCAGTCTTGACAAAGTGAAAACAGAATTTTGGAAATGTTTACCGTGGTAACAGAGGTGACCGAGAACTCCAGGGATCCTGTGTGGAGATGGGAGAAGCTTCAGGAAGGACAACCAGTCTTAGACGTCATGTCTGGTTTCCTCCCGACATGACGTTTAGAATTGAGGACAAACAGTTCAGTCTTGGTTTCATCAGACCAGAGAATCTTGTTTCTCACAGTCTGAGAGTCCATTAGGTGCCTTTTTACAAACTCCAAGCAGCTTTCATGTGTCTTTCACTGAGGAGAGGTTTCATCTGGCCACTTTGCCATAAAACCCAGGTCCTTGGAGTGCTGTGCTGCAGTGACGGTTATTTATAGTTATAGTACGTTCATTTAAACAACACATGTAGAACATAAGATTACTGGGCTTTTATTTAACGTTTTTAACATTTATTTGTCAGGGTTTTTTGTTTATGATGATAAGAACAGCTTTATCCCCCATCCTGCAAAATAAATTTAATAATAATACTCAAGCAAAAGAGCTGATGCAAACAGTCCTGCTAATTTATTTAAGGTTGTGGGGTGAACTGATGCAGGGGGTTAACCTGCCCCTCCAGGCAGAGAGAGCTAGAGGACACGCACAAAACCCAGACACTCACCATGCCCCACTCAGTAACAAAATTCAAGGGATCCCTATCAGAGGTAAATGAATATCTGCCAATATATTGTTATCAGATTTTCTAAACCCTCAAATATCAAAATTGTCACTAGCCTTAAAATCCTGTATCACTCAGGCTCTAAAGAAGATGACAGAAAGACTCGATAAGGGATTCTAAAGAATTCAGATTCAGTAACTGGATTCAGATTCAATAAATGCTTCCAAACACCATCCCTAGTCCTCAGTCAAAACACACACTCAGAAAAACACAAAGACACACAAAAAGAAAAAGCACACCCTCAGGCTCTTGGTAGATTGATGGAGTTTATTACTGAGGTAAACTCTCGCTCTGCGTTTCTGTCCTCTTTGCCCCACCCCTGTCTTGCCCTGGGGGCAGATGGGTAATGAGCCATGAAATATCCCCGTAATGGAGACAGAGGATGCTGTTCGTTTATACAGGGTTGTAGCCATGGAAACGCACATGGAGGAATCCAGACAACTGAAGTTATTTACCTTAGGTTAGGGTGATGTAGCCTGGTTCATATTCACTGAGGAGTTGTAGATGGTTCTAACTTTAATCTAAGACTCCGGCCTTCTCTGCTTCTGCTTCCCTTCTATTATTATCTTAGTTCATTATCTTTTCTGCTGGGCTCAGTGTTTCTCCATCTGTTTCCCTCCTCTTTTCTTTCCTCCTCTAAACCTCTGCCCCTGAGCAGCTTTGCTAAGCCAGTCAAAGTCTTTGATCCTGCATACTCCCGTCTCTCCACCCGTGTGACACTCACACAGACCAGGGAGGGTGTCAGGGGGGAGTGGGCTGATAAATCTAGGTCAGCACAGGGGAGAAGAGAGGAGGAGCAGGGAGAGGGAAGCGAGGAAAGGTTGGTCGGCTCTGACCCCAGAACAGGTGCTACAACTCCCAGAGAGGATTTTGTGCAGAGAGCGGCTGTTCCACATAACTCCTGCCGAGAGGAAGAATGAGTTGCACTGAGAGAGAGAGAGAGAGAGAGAGAGAGAGAGAGAGAGAGAGAGAGAGAGAGAGAATCACGTCTGCTTCTTTTAGGGGTTTCTTACTGGGTCATGTCTCCACTTAGAAGTGCTTGTCTGGGAGTGTTGGTCAGTGAGATATAGCTGGAACAGACAACCATGTGTAATGCATTCTGCTGATGCTGAGATCAAAGCACCCCTAGGGGTTAATCAAGAGTCAGACATCACACAAATATCACATGTATGTATGTCTCTGCTTGTTTCGTTTCAGTTCTCTGCTCACAGGCGAAACAGAACAATCAACCTTTTTTTTTTCCTTCCTCTCTCTGTTTCTTCCCTCTCCTTCTTTCCCTTCTCTCCTTGTCTTCTCTCAGAGACTGAAGGATGAGATAGCAGAGGTGACCAATGAGATTGAAAATCTGGGCCTTACTGAAGAGAGGTAAAGTATCTTTCAACCAACATTTTCTGTGCATGTGTGTAGACGGCTATAGTCCACTCAGCCTTTGTTTTAGTCCAAATGCATTCATGGAGAAAGCTGCAAAAATGACCAGAAAAATCAGCCTGACACTCAGAACATAATTTACTGATTTAGGACCACAACTTAACATTGTTAAGAAAATTTTATCTAATAATCATTTAGTGTGAAAATCCAGAACAACACCCTCACATTTTCCCAGAACCCAAGGTGAAGTCTTCAGAGGTCTTATTTTGTCAACAGTTGAAAACCCAAGGATATTCAGGAAATACGCAAGGTCCATTTACTTAGCTGTTAGCTGAGCTTTCAACTGTATTGAAAGCTTCACTGTTTTCACCTGAAGGAGGCTTGGTGAAATGTGTCTTCAAGGTTAACCTTGAGTGCCCACACTATTCAGTTTATAATTATATATTATATATGACTGATACATAACAGAAAAATAGTAAATTGTCACATCTGAGAGGCTAGAAACAGTGATGGTTTGGTATTTTTGCTCAATTAATAACTTCAACTTATCAAAATGGGTGTCCATTCATTTTCTGTCTATCAATTAATTGATGAATCAACTAATCCTTTCATCACCAGTGGGTATTTTGATATAAGTGCATTTGCAAAGCAGTTCATTGGGGTTCTTTTTTATTATTAATTATTAATTATTTTTATTATTAATTAATAAATTATTATACATTTGTTTTTAGGAAAAGCATGCAGAGGAATAAACAGATGGCCATGGGCCGAAAGAAGTTCAACATGGACCCCAAGAAGGTGAGAATTAATCAACATCACATCCTCATAGGGCTACAACTCATTAATTTCAGACCTGAGAAAATGATGAACAATTTTTCCAGTCCAAGGCAATGTCTTTGAATATCCTGCTTTATCTGAACAGTCCAACACATTCAGTTTACAATAATAATAAAACAGATAAAAGAAGAAAATACTCAAAAACAAGGAGCTGTAACCAGAGAATTATGTATTTTTTGCTTAAAACTGACTCAATTAATGAGTGCCTTTACGTGCACACTAGTATTCAGGTAATAACCAGTATCCTGGTTATGTTTGGCACATGTAAACATCTAATCCTGGTTTCAGCAACTTGGATATGCTTCTCTGAGTACTCTGATAGAAACTGTAATGTTGTGGCATGTAAACATCTCATTCAGGTTTTTGAAGATTCTTTGTTGGTGCAGAGCAGAGTGATGGAATATTTTGGGAGGACAGAATTGTCCCTACCAATATTTGGTGAACTCTTTCGCACTATCTTTGATGTAAACTCATATTAGATCATTCCAATGTGCCCTCCAAGAGGCTACGTCTCCAAGGCAACCGATTTAGGCATGCGAGCATTTGATTAACTCAAAGGGCGGAGCTATCTGAAGGCTCACATCATGTGAGAATATGACAGTGGTACCTAACGTCACCAGAAAAATGTCAACTGATGTTATTTAACCATGTTAGCTAGTGTTATCTAGCAAGCTAACCCTGGCTTCTGTCATCTGCAGGCTAGCAGTCAGGTTGCTAGCAGGAGTAAACATAAAATGGTGGATATATCAAATTATGAGTTTAATTGCTGTCGAAAAATCCCATGAAAATGTCACCATGAATACTATGACATTTTTATACCTTACTATACTATGATGTTTTAAGCCTTATGCTCAACAGTTAGTTGCGACCATGTAATTTGATTGGAGGAGAGGCATCCCATGAGTGCTGATATAGAGTATAGCAGTACTGGGACCTTTAACTACGTGTATCACTCTGCTTCACAGGTGTAATAATTGTTAATTAGCGTTATAGTAACGGTTGTTATCTATCTTACAAACTTTGCAAAGATAAATATATTTTCAGAAATACCCTTTGAATTAAATGATGTATGGTCATCAAAAGAGGATGAAGGGAAGACGCTTGGGTACCTCAGCGCACACCTGAAGTAACGTGTAAACAAAGTAGCAAGCTAGTGTGCACTGTGCAGGTCAGGAAAATGTTTGTGTTGCTAGCAACGGTCTAGTACCAGTTTAGTTGTGGAAGTATTTGTGTTGGTGTAGCCAAATAAATAATGAAATAGACAAACAAATCATAATTTGTTGTTTTTTTTAACTAATGTGGCGCTCATAGAACTGTTGTATGAAAGCAATATCACGCATGGCTGTGATTTGGTCACTAAACTATGACTTTTTCTGCCCTGCTATACCATGTCTTTTTTTATGCCTTACTATACGATAACATTTTTATGCTTTACCATACTATGATGTTCTCATTCCTTTCTAAACGAGGATTTATTTATGGGGCAGCTTTCTAGTGCAGTAGTTAGAACTGTCACCTCACAGTGGGGGGGCCTCTCTGAGTGGTGTTTGTGTTTTCTTCCTGTGCCTGTCTGGGTTCTCTCCGAGTACTCCGGCTTCCTCCCACAGTATAAAGACATGGTAATTAGGTTAATTGGTGACTCTAATGCCTTACTATACATGCCTCTTTATGCCTTATTATACTATGATTCTTTATGCCTTACTGTACTGACATTTTTATACTTTAGTATACTATGACTCATGACATATATATATGACATATATGTCACCTTCACATTTGATGTGATCACTTGAGTTTGAAGTTGAGCTCGGATCTTCATATTCAGTGTATTTGTATTGTCCTGTGTATGACGCTCTGTCTGATTTGCTTGTTCTGATTTCCTCCCTCAGGGAATACGTTTTTTGGTGGACAGCTCGCTGCTAAAAAACACCAGCGACGACATCGCCCAGTTTCTTTACAAGGGGGAGGGGCTTAATAAGACAGCCATTGGAGACTACCTGGGGGAGCGGTAAGTGCTGCTAATTATATTCCTTCAAACTAATAGGCCTCTTTCACTGCAGGCATTTTGCCTTGTCATAGCTGGAAAAGCACTCAGTAATATTCAAGTCATGACAGTGTGCAGAGTGCGACAGTGAGGCAGCATCAACAATACTAGGATCCTAAAACCGAAGCAGCTAAATGTTGTTCAATGATTGTTAGTTTTATTATTTACAATTGTGCTTTACTTACTGTACATGTCAAAATGTCTTTGTGAAAAATGTCTATTTCTTTCTCATCAAAAGTAATGATAAAAACCCAATCTTAAAAAAGGATAATCCTGGTATTTTCTGTGTGGACTTTTTCCAGAATTCTAAATATCAGGCTTTATCAGTCCCCTATAGTATACTGTATATATGAGCTTATGGTGCATTAGCAGTTCCAGAAGATCATCCCTTAATCAGTTTTTATCTGATTCGTCACAGTTCATCCATCTCTCTCAGTTGCCAACTCAGTGAACTAAACAGAGCTGCAGTTCTTGATCCTGTTTTTGTTCTGTTTACTCCCCCCTCGTGTGCGTGTGCATGTGGGTGTGTGTTTTTTGTGTGGGGGGTTTTATTCTTGTGTTGTGCAGGGATGACTTCAACATCGAGGTTCTGCACGCCTTCCTGGAGTTACATGAGTTCACGGACCTGAACTTGGTTCAGGCTCTCAGGCAATTCCTGTGGAGCTTCAGGTTGCCTGGCGAGGCTCAGAAGATCGACCGCATGATGGAGGCGTTCGCCCAGCGATACTGTCACTGTAACCCCGGAGTGTTTCAGAGCACAGGTACAGGAGTGTGTGTTTCTTAGAGAGAGAATAGCCAAAACACGTTTATAGTCACAGTTTTAAAGGAGGAGTCAGCGGTAATTCTTCCTCCCAAAATATCCTTTTCACAGCGTGCATTCTAGCCACATACGTATGTCCTGCTCTGAAATTTACAGACTCACAAAACACATCAGACAATTTTAACTCCTGTTATGTTGAAATCATCACTTTAATTCATATTAATTGCACATTTCTGTCTTGGCATCCATCACTTGGTGTCACTGAAGTCAGAGGAAATAAAAAAAATAATACTACTGAACTTTATTAATGCAGCATTTTACAAAACAAAGTTACAAAGTGCTTTACATGGTTGAACCAAGATTTAAACATTTCAGGACTGAAACGAGGCAGATAAAATCAAAAAATTTTAAATAATACAAAAGTAAATTGGAATAAAACTCAACAATAATTTAAAAACAAGGAAACAGATAAGACATGTTGGAAATAAAAGTGTGCTAAGATAAATAAAAACATTGACTCTCTAAGCCTCAGACATCAACTCAGATACCCTAAGCTTTTCATTTCAAAAATAAATATACAAAGGTCAAGAAATAATGAATAAAAGATTAATGTTCCAGTTGAAATTTTGAACTGTGTTTATTTTAATAGTCAGGTCTCAAATATTTATTTATTTTTTAAAACTTCTTTACAGATACCTGTTACGTGTTGTCATTCGCTGTGATCATGTTGAACACCAGTCTACACAACCCTAACGTGAAGGACAAACCCTCGGTTCAGAGATTCACAGCGATGAACAGAGGAATCAATGACGGAGGAGACCTCCCAGAGGATCTACTCAGGGTGAGAGAAGTCAATTTTCCTAAAACAACTCTTTCTGACATTGGGAGTTTTAATTTCATTTTATTATGCAGTGATGAATTTGTTTTAAGGTACAGGCAAGTCTCATTATGTCATCAGTTGGTTTTAGGCAGAATCAGGCGAATTAAACGTGTAACTTGGGTACAAGTTACTTTTCACAGATTCACAATCACAATTTAGAGTTTCTGGAGGACATTTAAACTCCCACACAGAAAGAGCCCAGCACACCGGGTCAAGGTTAAAGGACAGACTCATTTTTTTTCAAATCCACTCACATACTTGCATATACTTTGCAAATTAAAGAGATCCTCTCTTAATGTGATTCCAGTGCAAGGGATGGGGGACAAAATCGAGTCTTAGTTTGGTGTAAAAATATGTTCATCTGAAGTTAATGTGAGGCCTCAGTAGTCTGAGTTAGAGAAAACAGATTACAGATTGTAATCTGTGGAAGTTGGTGTTTTTCTCTTACGTGTGTTACCAATCTGAAACATCATGCCATTCATATCAGTGAACTAGTGATATATTGCAAAAAGAATTTTTGCATCTTAAGTAAAGCCCAGTAAACCATGTAACATTTCCACATCATCTTTATCTCTCCTTCTCTGTAGAACCTGTATGACAGCATCAAGAACGAACCCTTCAAGATCCCAGAGGATGATGGGAACGACCTCACACACACTTTCTTCAACCCCGACAGAGAGGGATGGCTTCTGAAACTCGGTACGTGTGTCCGTTTGTATGAAATAGTGGATTTCATTTTGATTTCATTCATTCAGTTGGACAGCCCTCTAGTGGACTGGATGTGTAACAGCTTCTTTAACATGAGGAAGATGAGTCACGTTGACATTCAGAACAAAGTTGACTGTAATTTTTGACACTTCAGTTTTTGTAATGCTCATATGTTGACGTTGTTTTTGTTTGTTTGTGTTTCATGGGTTTTGACTCCAGGAGGTATGTACCCTTAAACTCCCCAGCTTTAATGCACCGCTTTGCCTCTGAGCTGCCCCCTCCCCACCTTTTTACCCCCAGTGTCTGCGCACATTCACCTCCACATCACAAGTTTAGTCAGAATAAAGATAGCTCATTCATTTTTCTATCTGATTTCACACTGTGCTTGATGTGAAATAGCCAATAAAGTTGTTTCACATCTGCTTCTAACTGCTGGACTCCTTGAACTGGCCACTGACCCAAGTTTTAACCTCAGCTGCTGCGATCAGTAGGGTTTATTTAACCTGCTGATTTGTGTCATCAGTGTGCTTCAGAGTGTCGCTGTTGTTGTATGAAGTCCGGTTTTCTGCTCCGGCTCTAACAGCTAAAGTTTTCTGTGTTTACTGAAGCAATTAGCTCACCTGTAATTTCTCCTCAGGTGGACGAGTTAAGACCTGGAAGAGACGCTGGTTTATTCTCACAGATAACTGCCTCTACTACTTTGAATACACCACTGTAAGTAACTCCTATTTTGACTGTATGGCAAGAGAAAGAACAGAAATATCTTCTAAACCGAAGGCTGAAGAAAGTTATACTTAGATCTCTCACATTGTAATTTATTTTCTCTCTGCTGTGTTTACAAGGATAAAGAACCCAGAGGAATTATTCCACTGGAAAATCTGAGCATCAGAGAAGTTGATGACTCCAAGAAACCGGTAAAACCTTTTATTCGCTCTTCTTTCTGCCACATTTTTGTCTGAGTTGACCATTTCTGCTGTTTTTCTCTCCACTAGAGGACACTAGCTTAGTGTCATGTGTGGAAAGAGACATCGCAATGACACGTTTCGATATATTAATCCTGAAGAGAGAAGTTGTCAAACTATGTAATTATGTTTTAAAAAATATATTAATACTGAGTTAGGTATACCTAGCTAAATCAAATGCAGTCTAAGCCAACAGTCCTGCAGTAAAGCCTCCTTTTTTAAGGTTATAATCAGTTTTTGTTCAAACTGAGACGTGTTGATTCATTTATAATTTTGGAGGCTGCAGTTTGTGGTGCTGTTGAAATGTATTGCATTACAGTGGCACAATAGTATTTCTATTAGTTTGTCCATCAAATTAAAAAAAAAAAAAAAAACACCTGTAAAATGTAGCACAGGTCCTCAGCAGCACAAACTACATACCCCCAAAATTATAATAAAGTTGGGTTTTTTTTAAGTTATTTTTTTGGGCATGCTTTGCCTTTATTTGGATGGCCACAGTGAGCAGAGTCAGGGGGAGAGAGAGAGAGGGAGGGGATGACATGCAGCAAAGGGCCACAGGTTGGACTCAAACCCCGGCCACTGCAGTTAGGACTCGGCCTCCATGGTACGCGCTCTTATCAGTTGAGCCAGCGAGGCGCCCCCAAAAATTATAATAAAGTTAAATCAACACGTCTCAAAGTTTCAAAACTGAAGATGCTTTAGTTAGTTTTAGCGATGTGTACCTAATAAACTTGCGGCTGAGTCTTTATCACCTTCATCCCCCATTAAAAGGAGCTATTAGTAAGTTTTGCTATCTCTACATAGCCAATGTTAGCATCAACAGCTGTTTACTCACCAGTCTAGAAGTGTTGTGAGCTCAGCATTAAACTTTAGCCCCAGCCTGTCTGGTCATTTTCCGATAGCGACTCATTGTGGTGTTAGGTGACAAAGAAAACTTACAAATAGCCCCTTTAGGCATTGATGTATCCTATGTATCTTGTACCCATTGTGGTTGGATATCCATTAGCTGCCTCATTAAAAGGCCACCAAGTGTGTTTCTTTAAAACATGTTTAGTCTTTGCAGATACGCAGAAAAAAATGCTCTTTTTTCAGCACCACAAATCAATTCTTTGTTCCCTTTTCATATCCTCTGTCGTCAGGAAGTCTGTTTACTCCCTCCAGCTCGAAACGCACCTAATTTGTGTTTTTGTACTTTTCAAACGTTTCCTGTTGAGATAAGCCTCCTGACTCATCTTGTTTGTGCTGCTCTTTCACCAGAACTGCTTCGAGCTCTTCATCCCCAACCACAAAGATCAGGTGATCAAGGCCTGTAAGACAGAGGCAGACGGTCGCGTCGTAGAGGGAAACCACACTTTTTACAGAATCTCTGCCCCGACCACAGAGGAGAAGGACGAGTGGATCAACAGCATCAAGTGAGTCACGTCTAAACTCCCTCTCTCTCTTCTGACTGGAAGCCTTGTATCTAACCCTCCATCTTCCACCTGCAGAGCTGCCATCAGCAAAGACCCATTCTACGAGATGCTGGCTGCTCGGAAGAAGAAGGTGTCGTCTCTGAAGGGGCTGTAGAGCTGCTGAGGATTCAACATTGAAACGACAAGTACAGTTTTGACTCACCAAAGCAGCAGGCTGGACGTGGACCTGATATTCCTGCTGCTGCAGACACTTGGACCTGGTACAGAGGATTCAGCTTTTAAAGAGGCTCTTATTTTGACAACCCTCTCTTTACAGGTTTGACCTTCTGTTGAAAGTTTCATTTTCCATCTACAGATGAAATAATTCAATCATAGACCTTTTTTTAAATCACTTCATACAGACTGTTTGTGTTTGATACACTGAGCCTCAGCTTCTCACACATTTCACTGGAGTGAAAACATGAAGAAGAGAGCGAGAAATGTTTTCATTCAGATTGGAAATGTAATCAGTGTGTAACACTGAAACCTAAATAATGGTGAGGAAAAAACTATTGTGATGGAAATGCTGGACAGTTACAGTATGAATCATATACTGGACATTATTGTGATTCAGATACTTTTCTAAAATTGTATATTTTAGTTAGTTTACAGCCAATCTCTGTTTTGATCAGCTGAGCTGTTTTCCTGATATGGATTAAACCTGGTCCTGGACTGAACTGTAATGAAGATATCTACTGGAAAAACTTCTTAGTTTGGTCTGGTCTTAGTCCTTGTCTGGGTCACTGGCCTCTGGACTTCAGTGTTTAGTTTGTTGCCATATAAAAGCTTTTTTTTCTAAGCCTGTTTTCTTACTGCTGTTGCTCTTTTGTCGAAGCACTGTTAATGGACATGAAGGCAATGCATAAATAGCTAAATATTTATTTATCCAGATTTCTTGTAATTTATTGTTTTCAGTTTTTGTCTCATTAAAACTTTGCAAACCAATATTCAACTCTGATTTGTTTTTTCTTTCTTACAGCTTTCAAACCAGGGCTGGAAAATACTGTACGTCTGTTTATCGATCTTTACTGTGATCACTTTGCATTTAATTTAGAGAAAAACCAATTGTGAGAAATTTGTTTCCATATCAGTCAACCCTGATCAGACTCTTTTTAAAAACTCCTCTGGATTCAGGTTTGAAGCAGTTTGACCAAAGAGCTACTAGAATAGGTCTGGTTTACGTTTTGTTATTGGTGATGACTTTATGCCACTTGGACCAAATCTTAACCACAAAATCTAGAAGACAAAGACAACTGCGAATGAAATACTGACATTAAAATATTTTTAAAAAGCTTATTGGTTTTGATCGATGAATCCTTTCGTCAGTAAAATGTCAGTTTCTCACGTTCTGAGGTCCAACACAAGATTTCAAATAATATTAAACAGAGAAAAGTGGAAAATCTTCCTATTTGTGAGGCCGGAATCAGCAAATTTTGTTCTATCTGATTGTGAAATCATGTAAACAATCAGATCTCAAATCATTTGCAAATTCTTTTCTTTTTTTTTGTCAGTCAAGCTGATTAAGTGACTTATTGTAGCTCTGGAAATGCTTATCTAATCTTTATCAGATGTAACCGTGCTGCTACAACACAATATTTTAACACAGTGTTGATGAATTCTATCACTGCACTCAATCAGAAAAAACAAACTACTGTATCTTATGTACACCAGATGTTTGTTGTCACACACATCGACATTTTCCCCTCCCAGTTACTTCCTGCTGTTCTTATCTACATCTGATCATTTCCCCACTGTTGTCAGGTTTTAAACTCTGATAAGGAGATGAAAGCGTCAGTGTCGAGGCCGAGCAGATAACAGCATGTGCTACAACTCGAGAGGAACAGTCGATCAAATTTAATCAAATCACACCCACGGTCCTGATGAAGCAGATTAGCTGAGTTCTTGACTCACTAAATAATACCTGAATAATACCTGCTTTTCCAAATCATAAATATATAAGTATTATAAATGTCTTCAGGAACTTTAAAGCAGCTATAATCAATATTTTTTTATAACAATGTGACAAATGACAATGTGAAAGTTTTGCTTGTAGTCATGAATCTGCAGCATCAGATACAGAGCTCTATAGCGAGTTTCAGCTCAGTTTTTAAGTCTCACGTTCACAACTTCACCATCTTGATTAACTCTCTCTTTTCTCTAAAAAAAAAAAATAAATAAAAAGCCAGTGACTCCACCTGTCCAGCACCAGACAACAAGCTTGTTCACCAGCTTGTGGAGCATTTAGCAGCTAAAGAGCCAGATATTTCCCCTCGGGAGTTGGAGGCTAAAACCAGAGTGAGTGAATGTTGGACTTAAATTCATCAGGTAGAAACAAACGACTCCAAATGAACAATAACATTGCTCTGTAACTTCTGGATGTGTAAATAAGCAACTGTTTGCTGACAAGTTTGCCTTATCAACTTTATATCGTTCTGTATAGATGACCTTTTGAGGATGTAAAATTAAATTAAGTTTACCTGACACCGGAATGTACTGCTTATTCAAAAAGTATTTCCTGTTGCTTTAAACCTGCAATAACTGACTTTTTGGCCACTTGGGGGCAGCAAAAAAACTGTAAACAAAGACATATGTTTTAAGTTGTTATGGTGAACTTGTTAGGAAAAGAGTTACCTATTTATCTATTTATACAGCAACATTTAGAGTGATTGATTTGGTTTTAGAACCTTTTCACTAAATAGAGACCTGTGGGAAGCAAAACAGTAAAGTTCCATGGCTGGAAAACCAAAACAATGAGCTGAGAGATGCTAAAAAGCAGAGAGGAACTACAGACTACTATGAGCGACCCCTTTCACACTCACATTTTATAGCAAAAATATTGATTATATCCAGCTTTAAAACAGGATTCTTTGGCGTCTGTATTCCACTATGATCTACACTTTTAAAATAATATGTTGCTACGACGACGAGGGTAAAAATCGCCCATTGCACTAAATTAAAACTCACACATTTGAAGTCGTTTTTAAAAACTCACCACATCATCCTTTAATTTACAAAGATAATAACACATAGACGCTGTACAGTTGAACTTTGATTACCGCTGCGGGCAGAGCTGTAAACACTCGACGAGCTCTTAAAAACTATTATTAAGGCTCTTTGAGGAATCATAATGCTTCACCACACCCGTCTGTTAACCATCAGGGACACTCACTGATGAAGTCTCTATTGCTTTTTATACATGCAACATGTACCTGTAGAGATGTATGTACAATAGTAGAAGTAGATATTTTTAAACTGCTTGTAGTCAGTAATACAAAACCAGAAATCCACAGTGTAACGACGCCAAGTCTTAATATATAAACAATCTAACGGAGTAAAAGATTTTGTATGCAGGATCTGGAGCTTGAATTAAAATCAAGACATTTTACCTCCTGAATTCACCACATATATCTGCTTCTGTTAGTGTGCGTGTGTGTGTGTGTGTATCACTGATGAGGGTTGTAGCTCGGGTGAAGCTGAAGAAGCAGACTCCCAGCATGCCGAGCGTGTCCAACTGTGCCGTCTGCAGGAGCGGCCCGACCTCCACCAAGACATCACCAACCTCAGGGCCGAGGGAATCTGCAGCACCTGCCTCCTGCACAACGGGAAAACACAAACGCAGAGAGAAGTGTTCAGTATTCAGTCGAGTCTTTATCGATGGCACCACAGTGTCTGGTATGAGTGAATGTGTTGTGGTTATCATGAAGGACGTCATGTGACGGCTCCAGACTGGCAAAAAGGACATGACACGGCGCCGTTATGTTTAGTCTTAGTCAAGTTATGTCTCACATAACTGTTTCTCTTTCAAAACCCAGGGTGTCGTTAAGCGCTGCGACTTATGATTATCGTCTTGATTAACTGTTTCATAATCAAAAAATGTTGGAAAAAAGCTCAAAACACAAAAATATGCATTTTAATATCATATATGATCCTGCCGTTTGAAAAGCTACAACCTGAATATGTCTCGACTAATTGATCAATCCACTACTCGTTTCAGCCCCAGTGTCTCATCATCACATCACATGCTACAGTTTCAATGACATTCTCAAACACCAACCTGCAAATCCTGTTTGTGTGATTGAAATGATATTAGATTTCGAAAGATCTTGGTTTAGTTTAATAAATACCTCAAACTTGAATCACTGTATTAGAGGCACACACAGGGGCTAGGTTCCGGTTGGCCACTAGAGAGCAGTCAGGTCAAAGCACAACCACATGAGCCTGTTGAGCCAGGATTCATGCTGTTGTTGGGACATCAGCTGTGTTTTAACCCTGCTGACCCAGAGCGGACCGTTTAACATGACTGTGAAAACAGTTTGGAGAGGCTCCAACCTGTTGTCATTAGTTTCTAACAATAGACGGCCTGCGCTGCCGATAAGGACTTTTTTTATCCTTTTAACCGGCAAAGCTATTGTTGGAGGGTTGCGTTTTGTTTTTTCCTCTGTCAGGAAAAAAAGAGATAAGCAGTAATGTACACAGCTCACAATGCTGGACAGATACAAAACATGAGGGAGTGTGAACAAACTGCTCTACGGACACTCCCAGTGGACAACATTCAGAGCGGGGCAGAGGTTATTTAATCCACTGCCTGTTTTCCATGAATGTTACTGTGCTGGCGAAAAAGTAGGAAGAAATGATCCCAAAATATGGAATTTAACAAATCACAGACCTGTTTAAATACATGGGATAATACAAAGACAGGGAGTAAAATAATAGTAAATATCTAATTATTTCTTTCATATATTTTGTGTTAAATTTGTGATAATTTATTTTTTTCATTTAATGGTTTAATAGGGACTGGTCACGAAAACATTTCTACAAATGCATTTGATTTTTTTTTGATCTGTAGCACTGGTCGTCCTAAAAAACATTTACAGTTACATTTAAAAGCATGCAGAGCAATAATACAAAGCAAATATTAATCTATACCTTATGTTTTAAAGTAAATGTATTTGTTTTAACCCAAATAAAAACTAATCTGTTGTGAACCTCAGGAGCGTATGTTGTTCATTTGTAAATTAAATGTCAGGTTGACAGTTTCAGTTAAGGCAAAGAAAGAGATCCTGACAGATATTATAGATATAAAATAATACAATATGTTCAAGATTATAATTCAACAGAAAAAACTCTGTGTTTAGTGGTTAGTGTTTAATAAAGATCAAAAACTTCTGGCCTTTCTCTCCTGCTGCGTGAATTTAAAACAGATTTTCCTTCATAAATCATGTTAATGACAAAAATATGGACTAAAACTGCTGGAACTGATCATTTATGTCAAAGGCGTTTCTCTTACTGTCAATGAATCCTATTAAAAAAAGAGAACAACAAGCAAAGCTTTATCTATTAATACTTTTTAGACTTCCCTGCCTGTCTGTGGCACTCAGCCCCAAACCTCTTAGTTACAGGATAAACCTTTGGAAACAGGTCACAGTAATTTCCTCAAACAGCTGGATGCTTTAGTCAGATGGCTCTCAAACAAGAGTAAACAGCGCATTTGTTAGGGACTATTTCCAATCATGAATTAATACACATTTGGTGCTCTTTCATCAGTGGAACAATCCATCAGAGTTTATCAGAACATCCCTGAACTTTTAGAAAGCAACTCTTAACGAGTCGCAGACAGATTTAAAGCCACTCTGACAGAGTTTAGAAAGTTCATTATAACAAGAATAGAGCTGGGAAAAAGTTTGGTTCTATATTGTGTTTGTAAACTGGGTAATTAAATCACAGAAAGTGCTGTACCTTGTTTTATTTAATGTGTATGTATTAATGTATGTGCATGTGCATAAACGTGAAATTCATGGTTATTTTTGAGCACTGCTAATAGCTAATGGAGAAACAAATAAAGTAAATGGGACTGAGTCAGAGTAAACTACAACGCCATGTTCAGCGTAATGAAGGAACATGTCAGCCAGTGCAACGGTGGCACAGAGGAAAAAAGGTACATCAGGCTTTTCATACATAGACAATACTTTTGATGTGAATCAAATCATCGGCGGTTTTGGTCTTTTCATGGGATTTGTTGACAAAAAGAAAAATATATACAATCACCAGCCTTATCCTTTTAACAAAGTTTCTCCTCCAGACTATGTCTTTAACAATGATCCTGCCGGAAAAACACAAGTAACTTTAAATCAGCTCCATCAGAACTAGATGGTTAGACGTGCTGTCCAAAAACAAAAGTGTTTAAAGTTTTTCCAAAGAGCCACACTTGAAGGTGGATTGAAAACCGACCATCACAGAGAGCGAGGAGACACAATATAATTTTTTCAGACAGTCTCTCCTGGAAGACTGTCATAGTGTAGCACTTGATTGTTAATGTTAAAATTGGCAAGAAAAGTTCAAATTGTGTGAAGAATTAAAAATGAAAAACCTCGACTCCTTCCTCGACTCCACTGCTGACCAGCATAGCGTGGGTGTGAATGTCGGATTGTCAGTTTCGGAAAGTTACAGAAATTATCGGAAAGAGACAAAAACATCGGAAAGGGTTAGGGGGTGGGGGTTTCCTGAATGATGGAATATACCGGCAGCTTAAATCAGCGTCAGTTAGCAGCAGGTGAAGGAAACAATTCTCACAGCGTCTTTCAGCCAAAACTCTGACACCTGTGCTTTTTAAAATAGATAAATAAGAACTCAACACTTCTCTACTCTGGTGCCACGTGAATATAAAAAAAATAACTAAACAAACATTCAAGAATCGGCTTTAAAAGAAAGAAAAAGAAAACTTTTTTTTTTTAATGTGTTGAGCTGTTTGTTCAGACTGATTTGATTTTAACAGTTAGTGAAGGTTGTGATTAAATATCAGCGGTTTGTGTATCAGTGACACTGAAGACGGCTTTTCTGTTGTTAACTGAACATTTCAGAGGTCAACACGACCTTCAGCCCGAGGCCTCTGTGGAGTCTCACAGGGGCCGGCCCCTGTGCGTCACCCTGCCAGTAACAAGAGGACTTCCACACGTCTTTCCAACAATGGGTCTAAACGTGTTCGTGTGCTGGTCATGGGTTGAGAGGTATTCTCACCTCGTCCGTGTGCACATTTGTGAATAATGCTCAAGTCCTGAAAGGTGATTTATTTACAACCGTTTCCTTCTGGCAACAGATCACTCGAGTGTTTTTTTTTTTTTTTTTTTTTGTCCAGGTAACGATAAGACACCGCCCATTTACCATCATTATCCAGCCCGTAACGTTTCCTGTTCTCAGAAACTTAAACAACAAAAAAAAACTGCTAAGTGGCTTTCCTCCAATCTGACGCTGAGATCTTGACAGATTTCTCTTTGCCCAGAACTTGAGTTTATAAACTGAAAATATCTTCCTCTCAGAGCGAGTACTTTATGTGTCTCTATCTCTCCCTCAAACTAAAACTTCACCCCCCCTCAACATGAGCACAAGTAGCCTCCTGACTCTGCTTCAGGGTGAACCCTCTGACACCACCTCGCCAAGTCCTGACAGGACCCACGGTAACACAGACCACACTGACAGATCATCATCATAACACCGCGCTGACTCACTCCATGACAGGAGTGAATCAGCCGACACGCAGTCCCTGCTCTCACTTTGGTGATTTGGGCTGCTGGGAAGACGAGGACGGGACCTGTGATTTGGGACTCACCACAATGACTGCAGACATTTCTACGAAGCCACAGCCTGTTTTACTGTGTGTGTGTGTGTGTGTGTGTGTGTGTGTGTGTGTTTCTGTACAGTATGTTCAAGGCTGTATATTTTGTCTACTAAGCAAAAAAAATCACAGACAAAATCTGAATAAAAACAATGGAAACAAAGCAGGGATGCACGTCCTTTAAAAGGAAAACCCCTCCTTATTACAAGCAGCACGGTTTTATGCTTTGGCCTCTCTTTGTATCGGTTATGATAACTGTGATTAAACATATTCACTCATTCATTCAGGAGACAATTCAGTCCATCAGCTACTTTGATAATTAACTGAAGTCATTTTTCAAACATTTCCAGCTTCTCTAATATGAGGATTTGCTGCTTTTCTTTGTGTGACAGAAAAATCTTCTTCTCACATGAAGCAAGTTATTTAAATACATCACCGTGGGCTCTGGGATTATATTATTTATTGACTTTAAAGACATGCATAAAAGTAATTGTTAGTTGCAGAGTGACTTCCAAATTAGGATTATATTATTAAATTATCATCATGTACAAAAGGTGACAGTGCTGTGAAGCTGTAGGGCTGCAACTAACGATTATCTTCGGACTATTTTTCTAGTAATTGATTAATCGTTTTGTCATTTCCCACAGACCAAAGTGACAAAAGCCCAAGATGTAGTCGGTTTAGTTTCATGTGTGACCAAGAAGAGCATCAATTCTTCACATTTGAGACGATAGAAACATCATTCAACATTATTTAATGTGACAGAGACAGTGAGAGCGTGACAGGAAAGTTGGGGAGGAAAGAGGGAATGACATGCAGCAAAGATCCACGGGCTGGATTCAAACCCGGGCCGCTGCGGTAAGGACTGAGCCTAAGTGGTACCGTTACAATTACTCAATTATCACAATAGACGCCGATTAAATTTGTGTCAATCAAGTAATCGATAGTCAAGCAGTTTTATTGTACCAACGTGTGGGACAATGTAGTTTTAGTTAAAGAGACAGAGAAGTCTGTGAATCAAATCAAGCTTTAGACATTGAGCTACAATGGACCGCCGTGATGACACGTAACTTGTGTTAGGATGAGAAGCACCTGCCCTGAAATTATAATCCATAATTCTACAAATAAACCCTCTTTTAATGTTTTTTTTTAATTTATTAAGTCAATGGAAGACGAGGAGTTAAAAGGGAGTCAAACCTGAGTCATACCTGTAGTTGAAATCTAGTACATCAGTCTCAACATTTTAGTTCCCACAGTAACGAAGACACAGCGAACGCTCAACAACAGAAGTTTGCATTCATCCCTCATTACACAGGAATTGTTTGTGTGCAGGTACGTTACATGCTGTGGGTCAGAAGTTAAAGCCGGTCTTTAAATAGACGTTCTGAGAGAATAACCTGTTTTCAGGTTTGTCCTTACGTCCCTAGTGTTTGAGTAACCTCGAGGTTTGTTTAAAGGAGCATTCATTGTTTGTTTTGCCACACAGGGGCATCACAAAGAACTGAAAGCACAACACTGACATATTATCATTTTATACATGACTTTGCTTTACAATCTGACCTTGTTAGCGAATCGTAATGAGTGTGTGTTTCTGCATTTTTGTTTACTTTATTTCTTGTTTGGCAAAATCAGGTGGATCCACCCAAAAGTCAAATTGTTCCTTGTATATTAAAAAAAGAAAACAGTGAGTAATAAAAAATTGAAAAGGCTGGAATCAAGGCGAAATCAATGCTCCACTATGTTCACCGGCTAATTGCTGACTGTGTCACGCTGCTTCTGGAAAGTGGAGCTGCAGAGTTGGGTAATTACTCTTGTCAGGTTTGTCACTACGAGCAACTCCTTTCACATAACAACATAAAAATATAGTTAAGTGTAGCTTTAAAACCTCACTGCTCATGTTTCTGGCGCAATTTGATTTGTTTCTGTTTTAATAAACCAGAATTGTCCTTTAACAAAATAAATTGAAGGTTTTTTTTTTTTTTTAATGTTTCGTGAGTGTGTACATGTCCGTGTGTTTGCACCTGATGGCGTCTCAGAAGAAATTCTTGATGAAGGGGGTCACTAGTTTCACCCACAGCTTGACGTGGCGGTCTGGCCGCTCGAACGTGGAGCTGGACACCTCAGTGGAGCGCTGGTACAACATCTCCTGCTCCTGAGAGACGGAGTTTGAAACACAGGTGTGTGTTCAGTAAAGATTTACTCAGTCATTCATCATCACTTCTCACTGTGGTTAGATAGAAAAAAAAAAGAAAAAAGAAAAAAGCAGCCGACCTCCTGCAGCTGGCTCTGCAGCTCCTCATTCTCCGTTACTATGGCGATTTGGGCCTCCAGGTCACGGTGAACCGAGCGGTAACCGAAATTAGGGGAACCAATTAGAGTGAGGCAAGGCCGATCCTGCCCCTGGAGGTAATACCACAGACCTGTAGCGGGTAGGAGAAGCGGAGTGAGCCGGTGAGGAGGTAATGCTTCAGAGAGCCGCTTCCAGCAGGGATTTCTGTCGGCCCAAACCACAACTAAAAGGAAGCACATGCAGAAATCCCCAACGTAGATCCAAAACCCCAAAGTATGAGAGAGAGTGAGTGTACATCCTTGTCCTGAGGCCACGAGAGAATGACTGTACAAGCCGTCGTCTCTCACGCTACATACCGCCGTGACCACAAGAACAGCAGAGCAGGGAGAAGAACAGTGAGAGTGATGTGTTTTTATTATTTTCACTGAGCCAAACACAACTAATCTGGATGGTGAGCCCTGGTTTAGACTGTAATATTTCGTAAGACATGTTGAATTGTGGGAGTTTGTGCTGGAATAAGTGATCCACAGAAAATTAGTGTGTTTGTGCCCTTTTGTTTCCTCCCACCTTTGGCGTGGAAGGTCCACTGTGCTCTGTGGTACTCGTGCAGGTGTACCCTCTCCTGTTGGCCCAGCTGGCACACCCGGTTGTAAAACTGTCTGGCAATGTGGATGTAGGCCGCGGGGATCGCTCCGGCGACGCCCTTGGCCCCGAAGAACCCGTTGACCTCGGGGGAGGCGGTGAGGATGCGGTAGCTGGCTCCGGCCCCGAGCACCAGCCGCATGTAAGCCCGGGTCAGGTTGAAGTAACCTGATGTTAGAAACACAGTGGAGTCTGGCCCGGCGTCTGTCAGCAAACGCTGGAGGTTCGGTGCGAGACAGAGAGTGAAGAAAAACGAGTCACAGGCTTGTTTCTAATTCCTGACATTGTAAAAAATAGAGTTTGTTGCTATGGTTTCACTGTGGCAAAGAGTTTTATTACAGCTTTACACATGAGGGTCGTTATAGAGCCGGGCAGTGTGGTCTGATTTCTATATCATATTGTCAATTTAATCATTAGCATGTTGTTCAATACACCAGGACATTTCATTTCTTTCTTCATGTTTGATTTTTTTGTCTGAATTAATTCACAGTATGACAAGTTTAAAATTATGGATTTCTTGACTGGAGTTTGGGCTGAGTGAACTGAAGTTTTGTCAGTTTAATTATATGATATTCAGATTATTTATTTCTCAAATTGAGTAAATGTAGGTCTGTAAAGGATCATGATGTTGGATATTTGATAAATTGTCATTATTTTTACTTTTTATAATTTAAAAATCTGGAGTTTATTGGTATTCTTTCTCATAATTAAAAACAAGTGAAAATCGGATCGTCCCTGTTTCAAAACAATTGTGATTTTCAAAAACGTTACAGCTTTCAATGCAACCACTATGAAGTTGAAAATAGTTTTATGTATTTCTTCACTCACACAAGGAAACTTTGTTCTCTGTAAACTACAGTGGTCAGCCTCAACAACATCTGAGTGCATGGGAAAACAAAATCTGGTTAGAATTTTAAACAGATTTACTCCTTTTAAAAACAAGCTAAATATCCCAAAACCGAAAAGTGATGAGTCTTATATGAAACGCTGCTTTAACACCTAAACAATTTACAGGAAGCAAAGCAGCACAACGGCTGTGTTTAAGAACAGCTGCATCATCATCAGTTAGATCAAAGCAACCAATAAAATCAGCTACAAAATAATGTAAATAAATACAACACTCAAAGTCTCCTCTTGAAATGTTTGCTGAGACAAATAGTGCTGATTCCAGTTTGTGCTCTTGTATTGAATTACATTATACTGCACTGGTGATCATGTTATTGCGTTCATTCCCAGAATATGTGACTAATAAACCCTGAATTAATGTTCAAATATTTATCCATGGTTTATTAGTCACACTGCTTTGAGTAAGTCACATGTTTAACAAGTGATATTTATTACTTGTTGCTGAGGAAAAATAAGCATAAGAGCAAATTCAGCAGCATTACGCAGCCAAATTTGTGTTTTTGTTGATTTTAGCTCCAAATATGACTCAGCCAATCAGAGGTCGTCATGGTGTGGGGACTCACCTGTGTGACCTGCTCGTCCACCTGGATGCCCAGAGGTTTCATCTGGACCAGAGGGAACACCCAGGTGTCGTCCTCCCCCTCGCTCATCCCCTCGTCCTCAGAGTCCTCGGAGCGGTTCAGCAGCCGTTGCCTCATGTGAGCCGTGTTCATGACCTCCATGATCCGCTTCCGCGCCACTGCCGAGAAGTCCTGCCTGTTGCCTGGTTGCCGTGGAAATTCAAAACATGAGTATACACATAGACAGAGATAAGTCGGTACACTGGGAGGTGTCACAGTGTTGTGGGCTCTGAGTAAGTGTGTGCGAGGATGGTACCACTATCTCTGTAAGGACCAACTTCGGTTTTAAACCACGGTAACGAGGACATTTTGGCCTGTTCTCGTTATTCGAAGGACAATTTGGAGGTAAAGTTCTGGTTTTAAGGTTGAGGTGAGATTTAGGTTCAGGTTAGGGGTAGGGTTGGGAGTGCTTTAGGTTAGGGGCTCAGGACTGCATTATACCAACGAGGGTCCACACAAGCATAGTGTGTGGAGACGCATGAAGCAGACGTACGACCTCAACTAAAGAGCAGCACGACAGCTCAGGTTATCAGTTTAACCATCAGCTTACTGTCATTTCAGCCGACCGGTCATGGAGACAGTAGAGCCAGACGGAAAACATGTGGCTCCACTCGGCCACCAGGACGCCCCGAGAAACGACAACTCTTTAATCAGCATATTTTTGTTTGGAAAAAACTAAGTTAACTGCTTCTAGCACCTGCAACATCCATGTCAACTAAAAAATGACTTCAGCAGGACGAATTTATCTCTTGTTCCTGATTGGTTAGGACCAAATCAAACATATAATGATAATCCCACAACAAAAATCGCTGAATAAATAATGTGAAGGAAAATGTCTGGAGAGTCTGCTGATCAGACCTGATACCACTAGAGATGAGTGAGAAAATGTGTGTGTACTGACTCTTTAAACTACAGGTAACTGCACAGCATCAGTACTTTGTGAATGAATGAGTTCATGGTTTCTGAGTCTGTGTGATGCAAGTTTTATCAGCAGCCCGACTGTAGTATGAAAAGAAGCGTGTGCTCAGCGAAGAGGCTGCACAAACCATTAAGTGGCCTTAACATTGCCTCATGTGTTATTATTGTACATCAGGACACCTCATTGGTTATTATCAGTTACAAATCTTCTCTGTCATCCCCACAAATTAGATTTCATTGGAATTTCACCAGTGTGTGTGTTTCTGAACTAACCATGCGTGTGTGTGCAGTTCTCACTACATATCGTCTTCCAGCAACACCGTGACATCACAACTCTATTCCTGGTGTTCGTTACCACGGCGGACCGGTCCTGCAGACATGATGTCATTCATCCCTCAAACTAACATCCTGGCAGTCTGCGCTCGAGTTACGGACACACTGTCCGAGTGTGAGTGTGTGTGTGTGTGTGTGTGTGTGTGTACCGAAAAAAATCCTGACAATTTCACATCCGGCTGCATGACTGGCCAACCGCAAGAGCTCTCTACATCTTTCTTACTACACACAAACGCAAACACACACACACACACACACACCCACACACACACACACACACACCCACACACACACACACACACACCCACACACACACACACACACACACACACACACAGTCCGACCATCATTTATTTGCCTGTCTAAGCTTTCAAGCTCCATTAGCGAAATCCATCGGCTCCTCTTGCTGAAAACCGGGCAGGTGCCACCGTAACTGAGCGTGGGGTGTCAAAACATGTTGGGGGTAAACATGCGCCTGTGTACACACACGCGCGCTCGTGTTTCGTTTCTTACCTTTGTACGGGTGCACCATGCCCTCCAGCATGGTGACCGAGTCGTCGGGCTGAAGCTGCAGGGAGACGTCTCCCACGGCGTCCACCAGCTCGGAGAAGAAGTCGGCGACCTCCCTGCAGTTCTCCAGCAGCACGTAGCGGTCCTGTCTGTTGGTGAAGTAGGAGTCGCTGAGGTTGGCCCTGAAAAATGGACAGGTTTTAAGAAACAAGGGAGCAGAGGAAGCATTTTGGGAAAAGGAGGAAAGAGGAAAAAGAGGGATGAAGGCGTGTTTCATAGCACATTCCGTGTTTGCTTTCTAAAAATTTCTAAACATTTCTTCTGAAGCCAGGTCCATCTGAATAAGAAGATCTGATCGGTTCAAACTCTGAACTGCAGCTGGGAAAAAAATCATGCATGTATGTTATTGGTAAATGCCTCGTGGAAACATGAGAAGACAACAACATTCAAGACATTTTTCTTACACTTTTTTGTGCTCATGCTCTTCAACCTTACAAACATGGGTCTATGTGTGTTAGAGCAGGTCTGACCTTGAATCCCTGTTTGCCCAACAGCAGCAGGAAGTGTAGATGTTGTGCTAGCACTTCTTGTTGTATTTAAATTGTACGGTTGCTGAACTAAAGGGTGAAGTTAAACATGGTAAAACAATGTCTGTTGAGGTGTTGTGGCTAATTTGAATCTTTTGACTTTGCTTGCGAGTGTTGGCAGAGACAGTACGACCTTTTCCATTTGAATCTAGCCCTGAGAAAACCATGTAAACAACATGAGGACCAAACATAAGACTAGACAATTACATTTTACTCACAACATCAGACTGTTGCTTGAGCTTTTTGAAACTATTTGTTAAACTATGAATGTCGTCACAGAGGGAGACTGCCTGGAAATGTGTGCTGTTATCCCCCTGTTTAAAAACTGTCCATCACAGCTGGCTTTTCCCGCCACCTTTGAGTGTGGCTCCTCGGATCAACTATAAACACTTATCAGAGGTGGTCGGACAGCACGTCTCTTCTTTTCTAGTATAACACGGTCCAAACTGACCTTACAAGGCAGCTGTATCTCTCGCAAGCGGGAATCCATCTTGCCAGGCTCCAAGCTATTGGCTTGTGGCCAAAGCGCAGTGCTTCTGACCAATCAACGTCCCATGAGGGAGGAAACACTGGCAGCTACAGGCGTGACTGCTAACAACAATGGCGGCTCCTAAAGACGTTAGAATAGATGCTGCTATAGCATCAGTTATATCAGAACTCGGGGGTATTTCTTCATCGAAAGAAGAGCACAGAGCGGCACTGACGGCTTTTCTTGATGGAAAAGATGTTTTCGCTCTTTTCCCAAGTGGCTTCAGCAAGAGTTTGATGTGCCAAGTGGCTTCACAGGAAGGATGCAGAATCTGATTGGTTGAAGTTAGCACGTGACGGACAGTCATAGACAGACAGGTCACCTGACAAGTACCAAGTACTGAAGGTCCCTGCCCTTTTCCAGTTTCCAACAAAGTCCTCTCAGATGACTGTGTGTAACAAACCATGTGGCGTGTCAGGTTACGTCCAAACATTTACCCCTTCAAGTCGATTTAGTGTCTTTTAGAGTTAGTCAACCATAAGTCCTTTGTTAGCCCAGTTTAAAACAGCACGGACTGATGGCCGTCGCGGATGATGAGCACTAAAAGACAGTCTGACAAACTAGCAAGTTAGAGTTTACAACTATGTGTGTCCAGACTCCGTACCAACATACATAGTGAAGACTGAAGGAATCAAATCAAAAGGTATTAAGTGTATTTTTTTTGATTGTGATATAAAATTTATTTGAATTGACTTTAAGTTTTGTTTGTTTGTTCGTTCGTTCTGCTGCATGTCTAATGTATTAGTGAGGAAGTCAAATTCCTTGCATGTGCTCACATGCTTGGCCCATAAAACTGATTCTGATAGAACACAAAATTGGAGCCATGACAGGCGACAAAGCTTCACATATGGACGTTGGTGTGACGAAGCTACAAATTCTAAGACATGGAGGCTTTGTAACATGTGATCTGTGCAATCACCACAGTGTCAAGTGTTGCTGCAGAACATTGTGATGTCACCGTGACCTTGACCTTTGACTTTTAACCATCAAAATCTAAATCGGTTTGTCCTCGAGTTCAAGTGAATGTTTTTTGCCAAATGTGAAGAAAATTCCCTCCAGGCGTTCCTGAGATATCACCGTCACCAGAATGTGAGCAACAACGGTCGGCTGCTATAAAAATAACTTATTATTGTGCTTTAATTGTTTTATTTCATGTTTCCTTTTACAATAGAAAACTCACAGATGACGATTCTCTTCTGCTTTGACCAACAGTATCTCAGACAAACAGGACTAGTGTGACAGTGCGTCGCATCAATTGGACAAGGGAGGGGTCGTCTCTATTTCTGGACGATACGGAACGTGTTTACTCGTCTCTGTTGTCCGACACACGTGGTATATTGTTTACTTTCCCCACGAGCTCTCGGCTCGGGTCAGTTAAAGCGGCGTGTGCCATTTTGTGTGCTGAACTGAAATGGAGTGGAAACCACAGTCGGAGAGCACAAACCGGCGCTGTGCCCACTGGGTTTGGAGCGCACCCACTGCTCTCCATTTTCTCTGCATACGTCGAGATGTGCGCCGAGAAACATTTCCGAGCAATGACATTAACCACCTGCACTGTGAGAATGCAAATGTACCAAGGACCAGAACAAGATTAAACAAGGGTGAAAGCAGACAGTGGCGAGGAGGAAACGGTCACGCTGACACGAAGGTGCAGCCAGACTAGACTTTCTGTCTAGGAACAAACATACCCGCTGATGATTATGCTGTCATCAAACAGGTAGACTTTGATGTGCTGGACCCCGATGGTCTCGTTGAAGCGCTGAGGGACCAGCAGCCGCAGCAGCCCCCTCAGGTCTGGAGTGTGGTACAGAGAGACCCGCATCTGAGAGGAGAAGCGCTGCAACAACGGCAGCAGCATGGTCCTGGAGTTAATCTGCCCTGCACGTTAAACATAAGGATGATGAGCGTGGCGCTCTGCGCTGAACAGCTGCAAAAAGATCTCATGGAAAGCGGCAACAACCTCGTGACCCGCGGGTGTAGTCCAGCAATACGGAGACCTTCAGGTCAGGAGAGTGACTGTTGTCCTGCGAGCGTTGTAGAGCTTCCTCCATACAGTCCACCTGAATGAAAACAAAACATGATTACATGAGTGCAGCACTGACTCAGCATTGTGCTCCTATAACACTGCTGCCAGTCTCAGGATGTACAGTTAAAAAAAAAAAAAAAAAAAAAAAAATGGATCAGAATTTCACAGCATTTCTGGAGCCATAAAAGGCTTTATACTTCTTTCACATATTCATTAGAAGTGCAGACCTGTAAACAGACTTTGATGTCAAACATTCGTGGAGTTCCCCAGATTACACAAAACAAATTGCTGCATTGTGGGAAAGTTTCTCAAAGAGACGATCTGATTATAGCTTCCATCTGACAGATAAGCTTCAAGTTAAGTGTTCAACCATCCACTGCACAAAGTGGTCTTGTGCAGAACTACTTTTACAGAGCTGAAACAACTAGTTCATTATTCAATTGACAGAAATTAAATCAGCAACTATTTCAGTTTATCGTTTCAGTCATGTTTCAAAGCAAAAATGTCCGGCTTGTGCTGTTGTACCTTCTCAGATGTGAGGATTGTTTATCTCTGGGTTTTGTGCAGTTGGCTGTACAAAACAAGACGTTCAAACATCTCACCACAGGCTCTAGGAAATTATAATTTTAGGCTTTTTCGTAATTTCCTGATAATTTGTAGCCAAAAAGATTAACCGATTAATTGAGAAAAACACTAGAAGCTATTCTAATACTCAATTTATCATCTATCCAACGCATTTATTGTTTTTAGCCTCTCAAATGAATTGAATATCTTCAGGTTCTGGACTGCTGTTTCAGGCAAAACGAGATGTCACCTTGAACTTTTGAGGTGCATGATTTGACCATTTTCTGTCATTTTATACACAAATCAATTAATAAATAATACAGAGAACTTTTATACATACAGCACATGATAGTCATTAGTTGAAGGCCGGCCGACTAATTTTCTCAGAATTTTGGGTAAATGTAATTTTTAAGACTCCAATCAAACTAAAAGATCTTCAAGCTGCTCAGCTCTTTTCACTCAAATGGAAAACTTCTGTCAACACGATTTTACTTGGAACAACCAGTTGACAAAAAGACTTCCTGTGGTCTGCGATCATGTTCTCACATCTTATTCTACAACAGTGTTCACAAACCACAAACTGAGGTTTGTACATAGATGACACTGACTGTCGGCTTTCAGCGGGCGTCATCACTTGTTATTGCAAAAGAAACAGCTGACAGACTCGGGACTGGGTAGCTACGGTTACTAATCTTAATTTCTGTGGAACTCTCCAACTTGCAGTAACCTATAGTTTAAGTGCAAAATGAACAGATCCAGTAGATCTGGTTTCAGGTAAAGCCTTGTGTTTTCTCTCTGTGTCTCACTACATGTGTATCTGTGAACAAGACTGAGCCACAAAACAAAGATGATTATTGATTACTTGGCAGTGGCCATCACTTATCAAACACTGGCCGTCTTTTATTATCTGTTTACTGAGCGTGGGAAAAGCATGACTAACTACTCCTCACAACAAGGAAACTGGTAGCGACAGTAGAGTCTGTATTTGTGGCACTTGGCGATTGTTCCCCACCTGATGTCAAACCAACGCTTCTTTTCTTTTTACTCCGGATAAATTGTGCATCTGGTGCCCAAATGCATTCATTACACGTCACCCCAGAGTGCCTGTTTATGTGCCAGTAAAACATTTCTTCTTTCCAGTAGAGAGCTCTTTGGGGATGTCTGCACCACCGGCACTTCCAGCTCTGGAAGTTTCCTCTGGAGCAAATCTGACAATGAGTGGGAGCTCTGAGGAAAAACTGTTTATCTCTTAATGCAGAGAAGCAGCATTCAGTCTTAATGCTGTGCAAGATTTGTCTGAAGTGTTGGCGGTAAATCTAGATGGAAAATGTTTGTGTTCTCTTATTACTTCTAAGTGAATCTTAAGCAGGAGTCTCAAACTCGTGGCCTGGGGGTCACATGTGACCCACAACATGATTCGCCGAGTAATTTAGAGTAATCATTTGAGTTTCTAACAAGGCTGTAAAATCAGAGCATAAAAACTGGTTATTTCATTTTATATCTAACATTAAGCATGAAATTTGTCAGCATAAACACTCCAATTTACTGCGGCACACCATGCACCAAAACGTCTCTTTATAAACATAAAAGAAATTTTGACCTGGAGGACAGAGTTTCAACAGATTTTTTTGTGGAGTTGAATGTGAATACTTCGTGTCTCATTTGTAAGGATAAAGCTGCAGTAATCTCCAACTAGAAGAAAAAATGTGGCCATATTGATATATCGGCTGATATTGGCTTATTGCAGATAAATCTGTGTCCGTCTACAGAGCAGTAAAGCTTCAGGCAATTTAGATGATTGGATTCTTTAGGTGTCTCATCAGTCCAAAATTAATTCTGCAGTACGACAACGAGCTCAAACATACAGCCAGAGTGGTAAAAAAACAAGAGGAACAAGGAGTCCTGCAACAGTTGTTCTGGCCCCCACAGAAACCTGATCTCAGTCTGGGATCACATGAACAGACAGAAGAACTGTGTCCAGGATGCTCGGAGCAACCGACCCCCCCCCCGCCAAGAACCTTGAGAAACTGTGCAGGTGTACTGAGGAGGGCCGCTGCTGTTTTAAAAAGGCAAAGGCTGGTCACAGCAAATATTATTGAGATTCTTGTTACCTGTTTAATTGCACTTTGTATTAAGTTAACTGGTAAATAAAAACTATTCATGACATTATTTCTGAAAGCAGTCACACTTTCAGTGCCTAAACGTTTTGGCACAGTGCTGTATATGTCGACCAATAATTGACAAGAGGTTGCAATACAGAAATGTCCAGCTAGGTCTGAGGTGACTGATAAGTTGATTTCTAAACCATACATTTGCACAGTCAGTATGTATATCTTCGCCAAAAACAAAACAAAACAAACAATACCATAGGGCCGATATATCGTAACCACATTTTCTTTCCTTTCTAAATATCGATATTAGTAAAGGCCTGAAAGATCTAGCATCATTCAAGCCAGCACGCTGCTACGATCTGCAGACGTCTTCCTCTTTCCTGCCTTTTGTTGCTACATCACTGTACTTCTTGGCACATTACCGCGACTTGTAGACCAGACGGTGTGAAACTGTTGACAGGAGTGTTCATCATAATCTCGGGTGTGCACACGTGCGCCGTGCACTTCACTGTTACTAGTAATAAAAAATGAATAAAAAAAAACTCTGCGGGTACCATTATTAATGTCTTTATTGTCTTTTATGAAGTAGTATGAGTTGCCTTTGGATATAGTTTTCTCAAAATAAACATACATTTTCAGATTATTTTCATTGCCTGCACCTGCACTTAAGTAAATACACTGCACAGGTGTGGCTGTCAGTATCAGTCCAGCATTGTGTTCGAGCCTGGGATCCCGGCTTTGAGCTGAAATCACACCTGCAGTTTTCATTCTTTAGTCTAAACCGCAAACCGTGCTCACATTTTTCTACTGAATGCAGTCGAGTTCATTGTGTCCAATTACAAGCGAACCTGGTTTTTAAAATAAAGGTCACATGGACTCGCTGTACCTTAATGACTCACATTTCTTGTAATCCATCATCCTGTGAGGTTGTAGAGTTTGAGAGCAATCAAAGTCGATTCAAATGCTTTTAAATGTAATTAAGCATGTTTGACTCGTCTCTGCCCTTTTCTGTAATTCTGCCTCTCTGCTGCTCGTACCAGTTAGAGAAAAAAAAAACCAGCAGAATACGAGCATCAGTCCAGACTGTGGTTTACTCTGGGTTAATGTTGTTATGCTAGGCTTTCCAAGCATGAAGAACAGCAGGCCATCACATGCCAACACTGGTCTCCTTATACCCATAAACCCTTGCATTTTGAGGTCATTCCTTGTAGCTGGCCTGGAGTGCATTTTCATTCTGAACAAACCACACTGCGGTTCTCTTGGAAGAGGACTCTGACTCACATTTTCTGGCATCTCTGACCAGTTATTTGGCACGCGTCTGTGTTTAGATGGCATTGTTCTCACCTGACCGAAACTACACAAGTAAAATCTCCAGAATTGTAAAACAATGCACTTAAATCTGAATCTGTCAAGCATACAAACACACACACACACACACACACACACACACACACACACACACACACACACACACACACACACACAAACACTGTTTTTCTCACCAGCTCCTGCTCCAGCTGACCTGTTCCCAGATACAACGAGGCCATCACCACTCGCCTCTTTGCGGTCTTGATTCGTGCCTGAAGTGACAAGGAAGAAAAACAAAAAAAAAGCAAACAATCATGACAGAGAATGAGTGTGCTGTAGGTTTGTATGCGGGTGTTCGAAATGTGGTCACAAAGAAACAAAATGAAAAACTTTTAACAGAAAGTACATTTACTGCCAGTAACAGCACAAGACATGAGCAAAGTGAGCAGACTCAGGCCACCAGGGGCCCCTAAACAGCAAACAACAAATCACTGTTTTCAGGTTGAAAACTGAAAAACATCTACTTTTCAAACACTAAAAAAAAAAGTCTTTTTGTCATATGTTTGGTACTTCAAAGGTTTGAAAATATATTTTCTCACACGGGGATTTTTTGCCACCAGTGGAGGTGAAAGACATTTAGATTGTGGTTCTCACAGGATTATAAAGTTTCTTCTTCTTATTATTATTATTAAAACTTCAACAGAACGTAAATAAAGTTCTCTGGATAATCCACAGAACATTCAACAGTTTTCATAGGCACCATTTCTTTTGGCAGAAAGAAAGGCGTGTTTTTGAATTAAATCTCATCTTTCAACAGCTTGAGCATCAACTGCAACTGACATTATCGATTAATCTGCCGATTACATTCTTGACTTAATCGTTTGGCTATAAACCCTTAAAAAAAAAAAAATGTATATTTCCTAAAGCCCAATTTGATGTGTCTGGGTTTAATCCATCCAACGAAATTCATTCAAAAAGAAATGAATTGTCTTTTCATGTAAGACGGGAAAAAGCTGAAACTTCTCACATTTGAACCATCAAATGTTTGGCCGTTTAGCTTGAAAATTTACTTGAGCAATCCATGATCATGTGTGGACGTGTGGACGTGTGTGGACGTGTGTGTACGTGTGTGTACGTGTGTGTACGTGTGTGTGCCAAAAGTGATAAATAAACACAAAAAGCCATTCAATTGCAACCTTCCCAATTTTCATAGGTATGGGGAAGTGTTGATAAAACAAATCACATGTTTTTTTCGAAACACACCCAGTCACACACGCTTGTAACTCACATTATGATTCAAATAACCATGAAAAAGAGGTTATACTATATGTAGTGTTTCTAAAACTCATCATGCGCAGCAACACAAATACATCAGGGACATACATCAACACTTGGAGGGAGATTCCTCTGAAATTAACTATAAATTAACTTAACTCTAACTCTTTCTGTCTGAGCTTAAACAATGGTTCTGTATGAGGGAAGCTCCTGCCTCTTTCCCGGCACATCAGCTGAAGCAAATTCCTGTTTCGTTGTTCCTGGAGCAGCTGAATAGGCTAAAGTTAGAGGAGGCATGAGAGGATTCCAATGTGGTGACACACAGCAGGTGTGGGACCACATGAAAAAAAAGGAAGTAAGTTTATACTGTAAATTCACTCACCTTTTTACTGAGTCACAAAGAAAAATAAGATTTTCTTGAAAGATTGTTGTAACTGGTACAAATCATTTCTGGGTGTTAATTTCTCCAGCAAGAATTAGATGTAAGGTAGAAATATAGAGAAGTCATTTTAGAGCTGAATAATTACTGTATTTGTTGTCAGCTGTGGTGTGCTACTCTTTCAACTCACGTATTTGACAGTTAATCAAAATCTGATGGGAAAATAATGCTTCCTCAATTACAGCAAACACTTTTGCCAACAATCAGCATTAGCAGATATCAGCCTTTCGATTCCTCTAACTCCAGCTCCCTTTGTTCCAGAACCAAACATTTTATTTTGACAGTGACACCGACCTTCATGGCCTGGTAGAACTGGTCGGGTGATGTGAGGATGTGGATGTGGGTGCCCGGCACCCGAAAGGCAGGTACATGCTCTGCCATCCATCGAAAGTGGGAGCAGAGGCCGTCTGTGCCCTGAGCTCCGGCCGACCCGGTGGGCCTGGCGACACGACATGGGGCTGGGTCAGCTTCGGCCAGCAGGGGAGCCAGCAGCAGCACGGAGGAGCTGGAGGGAAACAAGGGGAATCGCAAGAAATTGTTTGAATGATGGGGGACAGAGTAAAAAATATTGGAGCTCTATCACTTAGTTGATTAATAGATCAACAGCGAAAATAATCGAGAAACCGGTTTGATAATTGTTTTAATTATTCTTACGAAAATGTCTAAATTATCTGGTTTCAGCTTCTCAAATGTGAATATTTTCTGGTTTCTGTGGTTTTCTGTCACAGTTAACTCTAAATGACATTTAAAAACATTTGGCACGGACATTTTTCACAGTGTTCTGACATGTTATTGACCAAATGAATAATCGAGAAAATAATCGAGAGATTAATTGATAGAAAAAAATTATCATTAGCTACAGCCCTCAACGTAACACCTGCTTAGCATCAGCGTGTAAACAGTCTTGTTAGTAGAAGAACTGGACAATATTTTGATATTATCATATTTCAGTTTTCAGTGGGATCGAGATGATTCAGAGCCAACTGTAACTAATAACTAACAAAATAAGTTATTGCAGTAATTGTGAGTTATTACAGTGGCACACGGTTCACAGCACTGAACATCATTTTAATTGGTCAACACAACAGTCTCATCACAAGATCCATTTAGTAGCTGCTCTGGAGCTTTCGAATATGTCATATAACTGCAGATTGACATTGTTGCTGTTTCCAAGGTCGAGAGTGAACTGATTATTTTACATATAATTATCCATACATGTAATTGTTAACTTATTCTTATTGATAGTGATGTTATTGTAATCCATTAATGCAGCCCTAGCTTGTATCTGTTACTTTCTCTGGTTTTTGTCACCAATTACCAGCATTTTATTTTTCACCCTCACATCTTTCCAGACACATAAGAAAATATTTTTCTCCCACCCAAACAGATGTTCTTACCATTTCTCCCATTTAAAAGTCTTAACAAAAACCCAGCTGGATGTGTGGGTTGACTGTAAGCTCTCCAGAATAATGAATTCATGCGAAATAGCATAGCTCTACAGTGTATAAACAACACAAAAAAGTCGACTGAAAGATTAATGGTTGGATTTAATCTTTAAAAGGACACAGATCCATGAGAAGATTTGACAATGTGTCTGGTTTTTCTTTGTCAGCGTCCTAAAATTCACCCCAACACTACAGTCATTGCTCTACTCTTTGTCTCTGACATAAAATCACACAATCTGGTCTGACAGTGCAGCCACATTAAATAAAGACAGGGCAGAGTGTTAACCTCAGACATGACTTACAAGCTGATTGTCACAAGTCATTCTTCTGTGTATTCATTACTGCGTATTCATTCATTCATTTCATTCCCACACGGACACACACACACACACACACCACACACACACACAACACACACACACACACCACACACACACACACACACACACAACATTCTATTATACATTCCCGTTTATGTCTGGGTTTGGATTTGACCCACAAAGGGCCAGTTACAGTAAGTTGCAGGAAACACAGCTCAGGGCTTCTTTCCAAAGCCACTGTGCTGAGTTAGATCTTCTGCAGAAAACACGGACGGGGGATTTCCCTGGTATTTGTGAGTCCGATCATAGACACAGCATTTTTTTCATTGAGCCATAAAACTGTAGCATCAAAGATAATCTCCTCGTTTACGCTGAAACATCTCTGCCTTTTATGGCGGTGCAAATTACAAAGGTTGTCTGAGGAAGTACATCGAGCTTGGTACAATGAGCATGTGTAATGTGATGGTCCTCGGCTGACCCTCAAGCCTTTACAATTTTCTGTAAGCAGTAAAAGATAAGAGAGTGTGACAGGAGATAAGGAACACACTTTGAAACTAGAATGGCACTCAGTTCAGCGCATACCTCTGCCAAGGCCAATTGATTTTCTTCCACCAGATCCGGATTATCATCTGGATCTGCAACAAACTGTAGAGACTCATAGATCTCAACGCCATGAATATGTCTGGGTTTTTTTTTTTTCACATTATTATTTTACATTATGATTCAAATACTATTTCCTGATAAACTGACAAAAAAGTGAGAAAAAATGCCCCATCTTGCATTGTTAAGGAAATTGATAAAAGAAATTCCTGGCTTCGCCTCTTTAACCAGATCTGCACCAAAATGTAATCGGTTCTTCCCTGGTCCACGCCCCATCCCTCCACCAAGTTTGGTGCAAATCGGTTCAGTATTGTTGGTGTAATCCTGCTGGCAAACAAACAAACCAACCAACATACAAACAGATAAACCCATAATTAGCTCCTTGGCGGAGGTAATTATGTGCCCACTGTTCCTGCTTTTCATTTCAGGGCTGAGACGATCAATATAAAATCAACTATTACCTCAGGCTACACTGAGATACAATAAAAGCTTCCATAAAACGAAGATAAAGTAGATTTGTTAATCGTGAAACAGGGTGGAGTTAGTTTTTTTTTTTTTTTTTTCCCGCTCACCAAGTATCAACATACAGTAATAAGGTCTATTTCAACAGTGTTGCAAAATACAAGCGCGGAATATGACTGTAACTGAGATGGAGTTAACGTCCTTACAGTTTGATGAGGTTAAGTTAATAAACTAAAGCTTTAACTGGTAATTGTAATGAATGGAGGAGCTGTTTACTCTGGTATGTGACTGTACCACATCCCCCGTGATTTGAAGCATGTGACAGGAGAAACTGCTCTGTCTGTCCGTCCTCATAATTCCTCAGAATTTCCCGGCTGGGAAACTGTGTGATTGTGTTGCATCCTTCAGAGATTTAGGTCCTGATTCTTCTCAATGGATGTAGAGTGATTTGTCAAACTAGAAAACTGATTTTTATCCGCTTTTATAGTTTATGATCTAAGAAACAATTCAATATTAATACCATCTTATTGTTGATTACTACAAACATATTTTAATATAGTGATTTAATAAAATGTATTCTAATGACAAGCATTTACATTATATGACCAAAAGTATATGGACACCTGAAAATTACATGTGTGATTGTTGAATATCTCATTCCAACACAGTGGGCATTAATATGCCACTATAACATCCTCCACTCCTCTCTGGGATTTTTCCCCATTCCCCCACAAGAGCAGCAGTGACATCCAGCACTGATGTCAGGTGTAAGGCCTGGCTCGCGGTTGGCATTTCAGTTCATCCCAAAGATGCTGGATAGGGTCACGGTCAGGGAAGTTCTTTATGGACCTGGCTATGTGCACAACAGCACTGCCATGTTCAAACACACTTTAAAAGGGTCTTCCTCCAACTGTTGTTACAAAGGTCCACGCCTATTATTGCCTTAAATATAAAAAAGGTATGTGTAGCATTAAGAGTTCACTTAATTGCAGCAAAGGAGCCCAACACAACCATGAAAAAGAGCCGCAGGGCAAACGTACATAAAAGACAGGTGTGTCCACATACTTTTGGCCATACAATCTACCATCTCACAATATTAGCAATCTACCTGTTGACACGATTCACAGGCAGAAAGCATTTTGTAACTTTGCTTTGTGCAATTTTGGACTTGTGTAGATTGCAGAGTTAAATGTGGGAGGAAATTATGCAAAACAATTACAGTATCATGAGAAAGATGAGATAAGATAATATGATGATGACAGATTCTCGCTTCAGGCTCCAACAAGTCTCAATGCCCAAACTTTGTTTCCTTTTCGGAAACAGGGGCTCTACCCAGAAACTGCACTTCACACTAATTTCCCGCAGTGGCAGACCCTTCCCAGTTATCTTAAACACTGGTGAAGACAACACCCTTGGTTTTAAGAATGATAAGTTTAATATTAAGTCTCTGAACCGTGATGAGTTGAAACAAAAAGGCATCTGGTTTGTTCTTCACATGGCAGACAATTTTAGAACTGCAGCCAATACTACTATCAGAAAGTACTTGTGACAAAATATCTAAAGAATCTAAAGCAGCTATCTTGAGTTGTTTATCACCCGAAGCCACAGAAGTATATTTTTAGATTCTAAAGTAGACATACCCCCGCAAATGAATTGTTAATAGATGTTTCAATTTAGATTTATATATGTTTTACCTTTGGGTTTTGGACTGTTAGAAGGTCTGTGGGAATTTATAGCAGCATTTTTTTGGCATTCTTCTGGCATTGTGTAGATAAGACATTGAAAAAATTATCAATATAGAAATTTTAATGTTCCTTATCTTTTCTAGCATATTCTGGTGAACTTTTGTTGAATTCTGCGTCTCTTGAAGTGCAGGTGAAATGTGGAGTGCGAATGTGGATGTTGCTGGAAGCTTGTCTGCATCTACTGTGATGACCTTGGTTCTCTTTCCCCATCTCTCTGGGTCTTAGCCGGGTGTGCATGTGCTTCTCTTCTGTTCTGCTGCACTGGACTTCAAGTTGAGCTCTGCCTGTTCTGATTGTATATATTAACTTGGGATCTCGATTGGAAAGTGAGGATAAAAAACAGGACAGAGATCATTAATGTTGTTAGTTAACACCTGTGCCTCAGCAACTGTCTGCTGAGAAAAATGTCAACAATCAGCTCTTGCTCCATGTAGCACACAGGTGTTGCACACACAGTTATTGTAACCTGTGATATCACCTGTCCATTCATGCTCTTCTTGGGAAACCTCTGAACTCTGAGTGTCCCAAGATGGGTGTCGGGTTTCAGCTTTGGTAAAATGACAGCCACTGTTACACAACATGAAGAACATCTTGTACAACCTCTGAGTGAGTTTCCTTGAAGGTGAGTTGCTGTCTGTTACACTTGCAGCCTCAGGAGGTGCATTTCTTTGCTAACTCTGACGATAATTAGTTAGACGTAGCTGTAAACATCCTAACTGCACACAAATAAGCTCCAACCCGGTGGCTAAAAGTGCTAAAATATCAAGGATAGGCGTGTCGTTCATTTTGAGTCAAAACACGACGGTGAAAAGACGTGTGTCCGATAATGGACGCATTAGCATATTTAGCTCTGTAGGGTGCAGACATTGCAGCAAAACACGGGTTTGACCCTCGTTAGTGTGTTTCCGTGGGTGAACCGTGTCTCTTACCCTCCTCTTCTGTCCCGGACACGGAAGAGCCGGTCAGATATTCGGGTAAAAACCCCGGTGATGGCCGGTGAGTACACGGAGTACACCAGCCTCCTCCAGGACATGGGAGCCGCCATTGGTGCAGCACTGTGACTTTGAATCAACTTTATTGACACACCAGAGTTCACAGACAGTAGTAGTCGTGGTACTTCAGAACACACAAGTCCAAATGTTAGGTACTTGTACTTCACTTTTCATGCCTATTTATACTTCTACTTCAGTACATTTCAGAAGGAAATTTTGCACATTTCACTCCACTACATTTATATAACAGCTTTAGCGACTACTGCTGCTCCGAAGTACTACTGTACCTAAACACAAGTACAAATTAAAGTGCTTGTACTTTACTTTAGTATTTCCATTTTATATTCATTTGGGAGGTTTAGTTACTATTAACTTTACAAATTAAGATTTTTACATACAAAACATAAAATGAGCTTATGAAGTATGATGCTTTGTTATAAATTAAACTACACGTGTATATATATATATATATATATACACGTAGAGCTGAAACTTTCAGTCAATTAATCAATTAGTCAGGAAATTAACTGGTAACTGTTTTCAAAAATCATTTGAGTACATTTTCATGGAAAAATGCCAAACATTTCATACTTCTATCTTTTCAAATGTTAACATTTGCTGCTTTTCCTTTGAATTATTTAAATATTTTTTTATATATTTTCAATTTTTCAAGGTTATACCCTTTAATGGACAAAACAATCATAGTGAAAATGCCACTTTGGGCTCTGGGATAAATGTTTTGATTCTTTTACAAACCAATCAATCAATGGATTTAGAAAAGTATCAGGAGATGAATCCATAATGAAAAATGAATAATGAAAAATAAAATTAGCTGCATCTCAACCGAGTACAACAGTAAAATCCTGCTTTAACATTAATGCATCTAATTAGTATAACAGTAACATGGGAGTATGTTTCTGCATGAAGTACTTTTACTACTTCAAGTATATTTTCCTGTTTATACTTACATTCATTCACTTTAATGGAGTATTATCACACCGTGGTATCAGTACTTTTATTCATTTATTTACTTAATTATTTTTACCCACAGCAACAAATAAATAACTCAGAAAAATAATATATTAGTGGTTTTCTTTACCATTTTAGTTTTAGGGGATGACCTCTAGTGGTCAACCTGCAAACTACCTTATAACCAGTTATGTGCTCAGGTAATCTCAGTTAAATATACCCTAAAATAACAATATGTGTGCACATCTCTTCAGATGCACACACAGCACAGAGTGATTGTCAGCCCTGCCTTTTCTCCTGTTTCATTACACTTGCTTGATCTTTGCTCTCCATGTTACCAGTCTGAGGTGTGACCTCAGCTGTCACTGCAGGTATTCAGTCATGTGGGACATATCATGTAGTGTATGTTTTAATGAGTTTTCTTCAGCTAACAGGTGATCTTGTGACATTCTGTAGCTCTCCTCCGCACGTGAGGATCGTAAAACTGCTGGAACCAGTTGATTGTCATTATTATACTCTAGTGATACAACTGCTTGGCTGGTTTAGTAGCAAGGGAATAGGATTAATTACTGCTATAAATGTTGTTATTGTAGTTTTTATAGTAGTTATTGTTATTTTATTTCTTCCTAAATAACGGAATATAACGGCAAGAGCCCTGTTATCTTTGTTTACCATTGTGGTGTACTTCTCTTTGATAGTGCAGGAAGGTTTTTTGATTTTGCATATGTCAACAGTGGTGTAAAATTACTCATAAAAAGTAAAACTCTGACATACTTGTACTTTATTCTGCCAGTGTATACTTCTACTCCACTACATTCAGAGGGGAATATATACTTTTTACTCCACTACATTTCATTATTTGACAGCTACAGTTACTTGAAAGATTTTAAAAGCCTGTAATGGGCATATAAAATGCAAAGTGTTGCATACAGTAGACTAAACTACCTGACAGTAAGTACTTAATGAATGATTTTATTTGCCTCACTGCGGTCTTGAAATGTTTTAATCCTGGTTCAGCTATGTAAAGCTCTTTGCAGCTTTGTTTTGCTGTATAAATAAAGTTTATTAGTCATTAATATCAATAATAATAACATCACCCCATTAATTATCTGAATACCTAATAATAGCTCAACCAGTCAAAACATTTAAATGCTGCTTACACATAAATGTACCAGTAATAATAATAATAATAATAATAATAATACCACCATACAAAATATGATGCTATAACAGTGGCAGAGGCCATTCTGCATAATGACTACTTTTGATACCCTCAGTGCATTTTGCAGATAATACACCACACTTTTTCTTGTAACAGAGCATTTCAGGTTGGGCTTATTGGTAGAGCAGCCCAGCAGGTTGTTGCTCAAGAGCACTTACAGTAAGTCAGATGCTTCCTGACACGCCATGAGGACCTGAGGGACCTTATATTTAAACATTAGTCGGGTTGCAGCAGGTCAGATGTTCATCATCTGTCATGTTGACGAGAAAAGGTATAAAAAAAAAATGAAATGGCTCGTGTCAATGGTTCATGTTAATCCTCATTTGGCAAAAACACATGTTCTGTGTTGCACTATACGTGACTGAAGATGTAATTGCTCACTCATTCATGGTTGAATTAAACTATTGTTATGGTCAGATAGGCCAAATCATAATATTTACCTGTGTTATTTAGCATTTAAGTTATTATTCTTAGACCTCATTTCAGCACCAAGCACTGTTAAAAAAGATGAAATGTGTGTATTAGATGTGACACAAGCTCATACTTAGTGGGATTTGCATGAGCTTTGTGCTGACATGGGTATCTACAATAGATTTCAGCTTTCATTGGGAGACCAAGTAGCCTATTCTTGGAGGGGCAGATTTGGCCCATGGCTTCTATTTGCTAACCACTGCTCTTTGTGTTATATGGAGGTCTTTATGCTGCACACACACACACACACACACACACACACACACACACACACACACACACACACACACACACACACACACACACACATCATAATTTCACTGAATATGATTTTATATTGCGCCATATGCCGAGCTTTTAACTTTTTCACCTTGTCGAGAAGGGAACCCACCAGTACCAGGAAACAGCCCGGCAAAAGATCACGCTGATTATTTATTGGCAATCTGCCAAGAAAAAGCGCGAGCACGTGTTCTTGTTCTTTGCGTGCGCGCGCGAGCATGCGCGAGCGTGCGTGTGTTTACTGGAAGAACCTCTGAACGGAGGAGGAGGAGCCTTACGGCTTACTCACTGGAAACAACCTCCAGTAACCTTCCTCCACACACGGACAGGACTCCTCCGGCAACATATCGCCGCTAACACATTCCTCCGCTCAGGAACGAAACCCACACACTTTTTGGATACTTTTTTTTGGATTTTAATGCCTGAGTTAATAATTAATCTAGCACTACTTTCGGGTAGTTTGCATATATTTTCCTTTGGCGACGAGCGGCTGCGGTGCGGGGCTGAACATATCCGCAAGGTAAGTTAAAAGACAGTGAAAAGACATTTAAAGCGGGACGTTATACATCACTGAAGTGATGGAAATGACAGAGCAAAAGGGGGCTACAGTGCAGACTGAAGCACAGCAGTTGTTATTTATCTCCTTGGGCTCCTGATGCAGTGCAGCCGACGGGACTGGAAGTGTAATTTGGGGGTTTTGCAACATTATGAATAGTGGACCGACTTCCATCCCAGCGGCTCTGTGGCGGTTCTGAATCATTATGATCATTATGGCGCCTCTTGCTTCATCCGCTACCCCTCTGCCCCGCTCTGTCCGGTGAAGCCGACTTTAATTCCCCAAGCCTACAAGGGGATCAGAGCAAACCAGACCAGACGGGACACCTTTTTAGTCACAGTGAAACCAGAGAATGGGGCCTCTGTGGCGCGGCCGAGCCGGGAATAAGGCGTAATTTAGTGAAAGAGGGGGAGTAGAAAGCGCGCCGGACTCTTTCACAGTGACCCCGTTTCTGAAATCCCTTGTTGCGGTGCGCCCGATCGAAGACAATTGAAAGCAATCAGGATCCAGTTGCTGTCTGGCTGCTCGGTGCAGCAGCAGCTGCTGCAGCGCGAGTTAGCGAGGATTCATTTAAACTAAATATAACCTGCCTGCTGCTGCCCACTCCTGCTTTATGCATTTGTCATAGTCGCCATAACTGCATTTTATGGGGGTAAACCGAGAGCTTCAGTGTGGCGAAGCGGTCGTTTGTTTGTGTCACTGCTGATGAATAAGTGTAAGTTTCAAAGGAGCCTGTGTCACTTAAGTGTTGCCAGCTTTTGCATGCGTGCATCAGCCTGTATACTGAGGGAAATGCCTCATCTGTGCTCTCTCTCCAGCTGTGTTTAGGTGCTCTCTCCCAGCCCCTCTCTGGATGCATCAGACTCCTCTGCCCCGGGGCCCTGGACCCGGTGTGTGACCCCGCCACCTTCACCCCATTCACCCTCTTTTTCCTCTCTCTCTGCTCCAAACTCCCTTCCACCTGCCTGCCTCAACGCTCCTGTTCTGGGCCCCCTGCCTCTCGACCAGCAGGCAGAGGCAGGGGGCCATGGCGCCATGGTAACCTACGGCGGACGCAACGCCTTCGCCATGAACAGCGTGCCCCCTCCGGAGGGCAGGGTTCAGGGGTCCAACTTTACCCCACATCACTACAAGCCCTTCAGTTCGCACGCACACTACCAACAGGTCAGTCTCACCTGAGTTTTCAGAGAAACAGCTGTGTCAATTGTTCAGGTCTAAAGCTTCAACCTTGCTGATGACACATAATGATGGAGGTTTCTCTCTGCCTATTTCAGGTGATGCGTGCATTGCGTAAGCTCCAGGAGAGTGGGTTTTACTGGGGGGCTGTGGGAGGTCGGGAGGCCAGCTCCCTGCTGCGCTCTGAACCGCCTGGCACCTTCCTGATCCGAGACTCCTCGGACCACCACCACTTCTTCACCCTGTCTGTCCAGACGGCTCGAGGAACCAAGAACCTGCGAATTCACAGCGAGGGAGGCGGCTTCTTCTTACAGCCAGACCCCCAAAGCTCCCAAGAGCCCCCACAGTTTGATTGCGTGCTGAAACTCATAGCGCACTACATGGGGAAAGGGCCAGAGGCTGGAAGGAGCAGAGAAGGGGCATGCGGGGGCAACTCAAGAGGGGCAGAAATGAAAGGGCGCAACGTTTATCTGATCCACACCGGTGGAGAGAGGATCCCCCTGGAGTTGCGGCGACCCCTCTCAACCTCTCTCTCATCCTTGCAGCACATGTGCAGGAGGACCTTGAACAACCAAGGCCTGGGGGGCTCGGAGAGAGCAGAGCAGCTCCCGCACACACTTAGAGACTTCCTGGAGGAGTACGACGCTCCCATATGACTGACAGGGACTGCACAGGTCCCACTACATGGACCAGCTGCCTGGAGGACAGCACAGACCAGGTCTCAGTGCATACGTGAATATGTGCACCATCAGAGACTGACCTGAGTTAGCCTTAGATGCCAATGTGAGGTCTGTTTTTTTCAGAGTGGCCAGAATCAGCTGATCCCAGATCTGTTGCAACACTGACTGACACCACCGATGAGGAGTGCGATTTGGGTAACCAATGTTTACCTCATCTGTCCTGCCTTTCAAAAAAAAAAAAAAAAAAAAAAAAACTGACCACTAATGTGGGTGGCAGATGAAGCCAGAGGTCAAAGGTCAGTGTTTATTATGACTGACTTAGACGCAGAGCAAAGCCTCGTAGAAGATTAACCTGATTGGTCGATATTAACGATGACAGTGACGGCATGATCAATACACCACCGGTGATCCCTGTAAGGTTTAATTTCCTTAGGAAGAAACCTCTCCTCTCCTCTGTCAGTCTGACATTTACAACACTTTGGATCACTGGACAGAGAGAAAGGCGACAAAGAACAGAGAGGCTCAGAGGGGGTGAGGGAAGGACAAGTTACAGAGAAAAGGCAAAGTCCAAACAAGGGGCCCAAAGCAGAGAACTTAGTATTTGTTTGTCTGAGTGTGTGTGTGTGTGTGTGTGTGTTGTGGTGGCGCACACATTTCCATTGCTGCTTCCCGCAAGTGTTGCCTCATTGAGGGGAGTGGGGCGGTCATGCACGCTAGCTCCACACACACACACACACACACACATACACACACATACACACACATGCACACACATACACACACATACACACACATGCACACACATACACACACATACACACACATGCACACACATACACACACATACACACACATGCACACACATACACACACATACACACACATGCACACACATACACACACATACACACACATGCACACACATACACACACATACACACACATGCACACACATACACACACATACACACACATGCACACACATACACACACATACACACACATGCACACACATACACACACATACACACACATGCACACACATACACACACATACACACACATGCACACACATACACACACATACACACACATGCACACACATACACACACATACACACACATGCACACACATACACACACATACACACACATGCACACACATACACACACATACACACACATGCACACACATACACACACATACACACACATGCACACACATACACACACATACACACACATGCACACACATACACACACATACACACACATGCACACACATACACACACATACACACACACGCACACACACATACACACACACACACGCACACTCACACACACACAGGTACAGGCCCACATGTAGGTTTTGTTAGCGTGGGAACAAAAGAAGAAGAAGCATTACAAAGCATCTTCTCCCTCTCCTCCTGTTTGTTTCTCGTTTCTCCTCCATTACCCATTCCCTGCACCCCCTTTTTTTTTTTTTTTTTTTTTAGTTACGGGAGTTGCATGCGTGCTTTGACAGTGACAGAAAACAGACTGCTGTTGCCGAGACAAAAGCCTGTTACTGAGACAAAAGCCTTGGCACGGGACCAAACAAAACATCAGAACTTATTTTTATCCAGACTGGCTGGAAAAATGTCAGCGACACTGTAAAGCTCCTTGGGGAATGACAATGATGATGGTGATCCTAGAGATTGCGGGGGGTGGGGTGGGCTGGAGAGGGTGAGAAGAGGGATTGAACGAAGGAGAAAGAAGAGCGGGAAATGGGATTAGGAAAGGGAAATTGAAGAGGACAGAGAAATGGGGAGGGGGGCAAGGGTGGGGGAGAAGGGGGAGGAGACATACTGGTATACAGCTAAACAAAAACATTGACTGGATTGATGTCCCAGACTTAGAGGAAATGATACAGCTCAACAGGACGCTGCTCTCGCAAATATAAACCCCAGGTTTGCCAGGACGCCCCATTGTGAAAAAGAAAGTTTTGGCTGAGTCTTAATTCTGTTATTTTTAGATGCTCACAGTAATTTCTTCTTTACATTATCATCTCGATCTTATTTCTTTTTGTGAAAACGTGTTGGTGTGTTTTGAGTGTGTCTGCTCTCTCTCTCTCTCTCTCTCTCTCTCTCTCTCTCTCTCCCTTCTTGGATTTCAAGAAGGAGATAAAGTGAGGCAATGGAATGTTTCGTGGACGGTTTAACCCCTTTAACTTCAGAAAAGTTTCTCACCCCGTCTACCTTCCATCGTTACCTCTGAAGCAGGAGCAGGCAGTTGGGTTTTGTCTGTCTGAATGTCAAGGGAACACAGGACTCCCCTGAAGTGATTCTTAACATAAGCCTTTTGTATAACACAGTATAAGACTCAGATTTGATCAAAATGTTTGTGTTTTTTTCTGTGTTTGACCAGTGCTCATACTTACCTGTGATCCATATTGGAGTGATAGCCTTTTCACATCATAAAAAAAGTTTTGTGTGATCTCATGTGGCCACTTGAGACAACAGCGCTGAAGTATACTGAAGTGTAGCGATACACTTTTTTTTTTTTTTTTTTTTTTTTGGTCAAATCTCGGTCTTATCTTCTCCCATCAACACCAAGTTTGTACATGTGTTGCACCAGTGGATCACACGTGTATGTGAATCATTTGTCTTTTATAAAGACTCTGTCGCAAAAGGCTGGCCACTAGTCTGGCAGAATACAAGCTGTACTATCTGAAATGACAAAGCATTACAAAAAAAAAAATAAATGAAAAGGAACGTTGCACATATTTATATTTCTAAAATATTTCAATAATTTATATTAAAGAGCACTATTTTTACAAAAGTCAATGCATTTGCCCTGTGTGTTACTTCACTGTTTCTTCGCCTGCTGCTCTGCTCTGCTTCTCTTTTTTCTCTCTTACTTCAGAGTCAATATTGACTGGAAAAACTCGAACTTACCGTAATGTATTGTATGGCAGTCTGTATTCCAGCAATGCCTGGCCTCAACAGCATTATTTATTGACAAATGGGATTTCCTAGTTAAACAAAGCAGTGTTTATTCAGTCAGCAGACCTTTAAAGAGCCGCACCACTAGGCTACGAGCAGCAAGAGGAGGACACGCATTCATCGCAGGGTTAAAATGACTGCAATCATCACTTCATGTTTTCTCTTCTACAGCATTCTGGGTAAATTCCATAGGCATCAGAATACATATATGAGTGGGCGTGGGTGAGATTTTGTCAGACTTGCCTAGCAGATGTACACAACACGGTGACAAAGGGATTCCCAGAAGCACACAGTTGAGATAACACCATCTCTCACACACCCACACGTGCGCACACACACATACACATACACATACACACACACACACACACACACACACACACACACACACACACTTTGACACAGCAGTTACTGTGCAGAAAGCTCACTTTGGGCTGGACCTAACTGGAAAGGAATGCAGCGGGGTTTTATACATCCTGCCTGAGGGTCTGAGTGAGGATGGTGTCCTCTAGAGAGTGTTTGGCTATATGTGTGTGTGTGTGTGTGTGTGTCTGTGTGTGTGTGTGTGTGAGGTCAAAAAGGTGAAAGGGTCCACGTGGAGAAGATTTATGACGCTCTGTGGTTTCAGTGTGCAGCCAGTGCAAAGTGTGTTTGTGTGTAAGAGGTTGGTCTAGCTAGATTGCTGTTGGTAAAATTAAGTAAGAGGTGAGTTTCTTCATTTATATATTTCCCTCTCTCTCTCTCTTTGACACACACACACACACACACACTCTCTCTCTCTCTCTCTCTCTCACACACACACACGGTTCCCATTCCCTGCATACCTAGTGTTCTGTCTGAGGCTGGCTTCCAGGAAAGAGGCACTTTAATTGAGTTGAGTTTTTACGGCTTGCCTGGTGTTAGTGTGTGTATGAGAAAGAGCAAATGAGGTGTGTGTGTGTGTGTGTGAATGTGTGTTAGAGAGAGATGAGAGACTCCACCTGGAAAGAAGAGAATTTAAAAAAAAAAGCAAAATATTGTAGAAAAAGCATCGAGTTCAAAAACAACCAGAAATGTGACGTGAAACTGAATAATTCACACTTTTCACATCAAGCAGTGATTACTGAGGTCACTGACATAATAATACATACATAGTCCATTACACCATTTACCACACACACACCAACCCTAACCTTAAACTAATTCCAACATTAACCCTC